CACACACCCATACACACACACACACACACACACACACACACACATGTGTGGCAGGGCCAAAGGCATTTGGCATTTTATGCGAAATGTTTTCGCAGGAAAGAAGGGAACCTCCGGGATTCGGCATTATAGTTGTATGTTCTACCAATTCCAACTTCAACTACAAATTCCCGCCATTCCACTGGCTGCCTTGGCTTTAAAATTAAGTTTACATTTTTAATGTGGCGAAAAAGGGAGCTGCGTCAGAGTTTTATGTTTGCCAACTTTAATGGTCATGACTTTTGGCATTTTTACTCCCAAGTTGATGAGAAATAGTACAAATATTGAGAGATAAAAATGGGAGGAGTATGTGCAAATAAACTGAGAATTAAATTATTGTGGGTACAAGGAAAGTAAAGAACATAATTTACAATTTACTCAAATTGTGAATGTGGTTATTTTGAATATACATGATACATGTATTTATTTACAAATATTTAAATGAATAATAAGCATTTAAGGAACACAAAAATCTGGTAAAGTTTATTATGATATGAAAATATGTATATATTTTCCCTTGGTTTAGCCAATTCCCAATTATATATTACTCATACGCCCCATAGTCGGTCGTATTCCTCGACCTTTCTCTGGGTCCTCCTCCTGGCTTGATTGAGCTGCGTTGGCCAAATCACGTTGCAATTGCCACAGACGAAGCTGAATGGCAAACGAGAGGAGAAACGAGACTCATTAGACCGAAGCGTGATGCGTGACACCAACTTTAAATTGTGGGAAGACAAGCGGCAGGACCTCATCCTTGTCCCTGGCCTCCGTCCCAGTCGCTCGCCGCGCACTCCGGCCACCAGCCATTTCCCATTTCCCCCACATTGCAGCGTAATCTTGGCCATTACTCAAAAAGTAGCTTCGCACGTAGAATGCGACTAAAAAAAAGTCCAGCGGAGAAATGGCAACCAACAAAAAGCGGCATACACTAGAAAATGTTGTACAAAATATGTGTATTATTTTAAAAATTATATTGTAAACATCTACCAAACGTAGCATTCCCAAGGTGATCTTAATACCTGCAAAAATTTAGTAATATACTTTTAAGGGTATTATTAATATTATTCTCTAGAGAAAAGGAATTAGGAAGTATTAATTTATGAAGAAAAACTAAGACAAAACTTCTTCTAATCTTCTTTAATACAAGTTTTTATTTCAAATACTTTACCATTTCCAATTGAAAAATGTTTATTAATATTCAAAAAAATTATTATTCAAAGATCATACGCTTTTTTTATATATATAGAAGCTGAAACTAAAGCTGTTCTTAACATTAAATAAAAAAAAATATATGATGAACTAACAGAAAAAAATATTAGTATAGAATATGTTTGTGACTTTTAAATATATATATTCTTTTAATTCAAGAAAATTATTAATCTCCAATTACTGTTTTTATTTCGAGTGTATCCAGCTCTGCGGGTGACATTCGTAGTCTGTTTGTGTTTGTGTTGCCGTTTTCCCCGGCAGCTCCAGCATTCCATTTTCCAGCCCTCCCAGCTTTTCCTGCCCCTCGGCCTGGTGCCTCTGTCATTGCCACCGTTCGCTGTTTTCTGTGCCTTTGAAATCAGAATCCAGTGGAACTCCCTGCGCCTCCGTTAATGGCTTTGTTATGCTAATTTTTTGACGCCTTCTGGCCATCGGAGTCGCCTGTTGGCCCTTGTTGGCTTTTGATGCTGTTTCTTATTAATTAAATTATAAATATTATTTTATTTTTTTTTTGTCTTTTCCTCTGAACATTTATATAATTTCATGGAAATTAAAAACAATCTCTGTATTTAGATTATAACACAATAATATCCGAGCTGAAAGGCATAGTTTCACATTGTAAACTTATGCAAATAAAGTATCTATGATTGTATAAATAATATTATATTACTAACTTGCTAAACCCAAGAAAGAATGGTATTTTTTTGTTCAAACTACATGGCTTCTATCTATCCTAGTTGGCTTTTACTGACCTAGAGTCCGTTTACTTACAGCTGTGACACATAATGCCATCGATTTCATTGGGTTCCTCCATTTTCCTGCACGTGGTTCCCTCCCAAAAAAAGTGAAACTCTGTCATTTGGTGAAAGGGTCTTAGCTGGAAAGCCCTTTCATAAGCATCGCATAAATTCTTTGTCAATTGTGGCAAATTTTTAGCCAGAGAGATTGTCAGTCGTCCCCTCTGCAATGCCTTGTTATGTAGTTTTCCAGCTTTCTCGTTCCCTTTTCCTTTTCCCTCTAATTGTGCCATGTGAATGTGGATGCGAAGTCCTGAAGCTGTAACTAGAATTTGATTGTGCGAGCCAGGAGAGTGCATTGATTGGATTAGCCCTGCCAGCCATGTGGTTGGTCATAAATGAAATGAACCTGAAGACCAGTGCATGAAATGGCAAAAGGAAGTTGTGACACATTGCGGTAATTGTAAAAGAATTCTTTACAATGACAATGGGAATCTTTGAGATGAGGGAAAGGAAAAGTACTTCTGACTAGGTTGTGAACAGTTGTGCAATGATGTTTGCTTGAATTAATAAAAAAAAGTATCAGAGACTTGTTTGTATGTTAACATGCTTTAATATTTCCTAATTTAAATATTATACTTTTAAAAATATCAAAGATTCTTTTCACAACAGTTGTCAATGGATTATATTTGAAGTACATCTTTTCCATCAACTTCTTTTCTATACATTTTACATTTTGTATTCATTCTGTTTGGAGCTTCCCAGCCAATGTTTCTCCTTTGGAGCTTCTTTCATTGTTTTTTGTCCAGCTTTCTTGGTTGGCCTGTTTGCTGGCATGTGGCTTAGGAATGGCTTACAAGCTGCTTCCTTGTTTTTTCTGCCTCTCCTCGTGACCCTGCATCCGATTATCCTGCAAGTTTCTATTCTCTCCTGCTCCTGCTCCTGCTCCTTCCTTATTTCTGCATTTAATCCTTCCAGCTCACAGTGGCCTTATTCATGATTTCCAGCTGGTTGTAATGGCATTCTTAAGCTCAATCAAACAGGAAGTGAATACGCATTGAATTAACAGTACAATATTCGTATTTTTGTGGACGCCTGTCGGAAAATCCAGTTGAGTTTTATAATTAAAATTCCTCGAGTCCGGAATAATCCCCTTTGCACATAGATGCATTTCGTGTAGAATTTAAATGGCGTTTTTCCAGAGCAAGTGTATGCTTGTGTGTGTGGTAAAACTGAAACTTTAGACATAAAAGCCAGACCCCTTGAAATTCTTTTTTCCCCTGTCCACCCCTCGGGGCTTTATTGTTGCTGCTCGGCTCGGCTCGGCTAAAACCGTGCAGACATTTGGACGCAACTACTTGAAGTTTTATGCCCCGTTTCTGCCCTCTTTTTTCATTCTTGGCTCTGCCACATGGGAGGACTTTATGGCTCATACGTGTGGGCTCCTCTCGGAGCATATTGAAAACTCAGCATTGTTATGACTTTGAAACAAACTGAGGGCGAAAGCATCCTTTCTCCTTAGCCCTCAACTTAATGGCAGGTGCAAGCAGAAAAAATAAATGGGCGGCTGAAAAAGAAAGCGAGAAAAAAAGAAAAGAAATGAAAACTGTTATCGGTCTGCGTGCTCAAAAGCGCACTTGATTGCTCAAATCCTTTGTGTATCCCCTTTTAAGCCTTTTGTTTTCCATTATGCGCCGGAAGTGTTGTAAACACTTCAGCGCAGGACACGGGATAGCAGCCAAAGCCACAATAACAGTAACCCGAGAAAGACCAAAAGGGCAAGGAAATTCCAAGTCCAAGACAGCGTCTCAAGCGGCTACGGGACTTCCTCTGAATTCTTTTCTCTCTACACAACAAAACATTTTCATCAAGTTTGTAAAAGTGTTCCAACCTCAAGACTGAAATATAATACATTCTAACATGTCTCCCATAAGGGAAAGAAACAAGTTAAAATCATTTTCCATGTTTTAAATTCGAAAAGTGAAAGGGTCTTAGGACGTTTCCAGATTAGTTTCCTGAGTGTATATGTAAATGCGCCGACATTTTTAATATAAACCAAGCTGGAAGAGGAGGACACACGGAAATAAAGCATAATAATGTGGCATGACAATCAGAAGGAAGGGAGATGGAAAAAGGGGCGGCAGGAATGAGAAAAGGCGACGCGTGCCAAAAGGGAAAACACTCATAACGCTTCGCTCCCTATTTTCCAGCTCCCTTTTCTTGAGACTCAGACCCTCGTGGGTTTTCTCTTGTCAATATGCTTCCCGCTCGACTTGTGCTATAATTGTGACTTCCCTCCCCGGAACTATGTGTGTCAGCGAGGGTTAAGGAATGAAGATTATGCCAGCCGGGATACTTTCAGTTACTTAGCTGGGGAGCTTCTGCTGCTCGGGGACCGAAGGACTGAAGGACTGGATCTGAGAGGCTTCCTTCCTTCCATTTTTTTCCCTCTTCTGACTCCGTTGTTTTTCAGCAACTTACAAGTGGCCAACGAAAAGTATCCCAACTGAAGCTAAAATAATTAGCTGGGGAGGCTAAGCTGGAATTGCGGAAAAATGAGAAGGCCACAGGGGAAAGCTCAGAGAGATAAAAGAGGAAAGTGAGCTGGGGGGAAAAGGGAATAAATTAAAAAGAAAGCAGGCAAAGGGATAGGCTAAATGCTCGGATATATTATTAGAATTGATATGGAATTGCATTTAAATGTCACTGAGGGGCAAGAATAAAGAGTATATTATAGTATTTAAGATACCAAGTGTATCTGCTCAGATAAGAATCAACCAACTTTAAAGGATATTCTCTTATGGCTGCTTAGTCACTCGTGCACTTCCTGATGCCGAAAGACATTACCCGTCAGCTCGAGTTCGCACCACTCATCTAGGTCAGCTGGCGGTCATTTCCTCCGACTCACCGCCAGCTCATTTTCCGGTTGACAGGACCGCTTTGATTCCAGCACATCACCTGACAATTTGTTGACTCAACTAATCTTCTCCTCCTCGGTCCATTTCCGTCCCCTTTCAGATGCCCGGAATGGGGAGACGTCACAAGCACTACCATCATCGGCTGTGCGGTTCATCTTCATCATCCCAGCTGCAGCGGCTGGTGGAGCTGCAGCTCCTCCTGCCGGCGGTGCTCGTCCTGCTGCTGGCCACCACCCTCGGACTCGCCTGCCGCGTCTCCGAGTTCTCGTGCAAGGGCAGCGGGAACAGCGGCACCATTTGCGTTCCCCTGGACAAATACTGCGACGGACGCAGCGATTGCGCCGATGGCAGCGATGAGCCCAAACATTGCTCCGGTGAGTAAATGCTGCCAGCTGCTGTTATCGTTTCCCACCCCCACCCCACCCCTTTTGCAAACAAAGTACAGTGAACTATCGAAGAAACAGACTCAATTGGAAAACAAAGATGATGAAAATGTATTATTACATTTTAGCACTTTATCTTTGAAATAACAAATTAAATCAATACATATTTTTGACATATTTATGAATCAAAACATTTAAATGGTCTTTAATATTTTTATCGAAGTAAAAGTAATCTTTAACTATTGTGTAACTGCTGCTCACATTATTCTTTTTATTTATTTCCGCCGACAGTCTGCAATCGCACATATTATGGCGATATTGGACGGACCTACGCCATAAAAGTGCCAACGCCACAGTGGAATAAATTGCCGTTCCTCTGTCACTTGACATTCACGGCATCCGGTCATGATCAAGGCGACATTGTCCAGGTGCGTATGTGGGTGTGGGATACAGGTGGCAGCGAGTGGGGGCTTGCCAGTGTTGGGTAATTGTATAAATGTACCACAATTACGTAGGTAGTTATAAGTACCTTGTTTTACATTTTAAGTACTTAATTTTTAGCAAGAAAATGATTTTAGACTGCTTTCGAAATCGCTACAGAAATAAAGTAAATAAACTTAAATAATTTTTTATACGTAAATTCTTGAATGAAAAACGATAATTAATACTAATCCTCTGCTAACAGTACATAAAACACAAAGAACTAGAATTTTTTGACCAACTCAACTATATCAATTATGATCCATAAGATACTTAAGTTGGAAAATCACTTGGATGTATTATAAAATTTAAAAAAAAGAAGAGGGTATCTATTTCTCAAGATATGTTCTGTAAGCGTATTATGTTACTTTATAAATAGATACTAAAAATGGTCAGATGCAAATTCTGAGAGGCAGAGTCCTACGTTTTTCACTACAATGATTTAGGTATTTATAGTATTGTTTAAAACAGTTCCATAATTGGAAATCTTTATAAATTAAAAATCTATTTTCAATAAATTATTAATTTATATACCATATGTTATTTAAAATATTAACTATACAAACACCTACCAAGGCAAAGCACAGAGATTGCCATAGCGTTGCAAAGCATGCAACATCATTAAAAACTTTTAAAAATATATACAAAACTGACCACATTCTTTATTGATTCCAAACCGAAACAAACCATTTTTTTCCAAGAATACACACACCTTTTTTCCTTGTGTATACATTTTCTTTTTTTTTCTCCCCCCGCCACTGTGGACTGTTGGTGCTGAGTGCGTGGAGTGTTTGTCCGGCTTGTGTTGTTGTCCGCTCCTCGTTGTCCGCTCGTCCCTCTGTCGTCCGTCTGTTGGCTTTAGTGTGCCGTGGGCCAAAGATTAGCCGTGCGTCAGCGACATAAAAGTGCAATGCACACACACACACACATGCACTTGAGTGTCCGAACGAAGGGGAGGCTCTGCCGGAAGAGAGCACTCTAACGAGAACCAAGAGCCACACATACACACACACACACAGGAGGCATTGTCAGGAGACAGCGACACGCACAAATGCACCGCCGTGAAACATTCCGAGACACATCCGCCCAGGACTCCCTTTTCCAACAATAGCCAGCCTCCGGATCGCTATATGTATGTATGTACATATCGCATGAGGAGATGTCTGGACCGGGCATTCGCACAAGGTAGTATATATGGGATCTGTCTGGAATTGAGCCTGACTGATTTGATACCAAGGATTACAGGAGAAAACATTTGGGAGTCGAAAATAAATGCAAAGATTTGTAAAAAAAAGGTTTAGTCTCAAAAATAAATAAACTAAACTTCGGTTTAAACCTTATTTACTATATTTATGAAGATACAAAACCGTTCTGAACACAACATGATTTTAAAAATTCTTTATTATAATCTAGTTAAGAAGCAGATTGAATTCAACCTATTTATACAAATATCCTTATTATCTTCCTAGAAATTTTTATCCATGGCAGTAAAAAGGGTATTCAGAAAGAGCTTATCTATTATTTAAGGCATAGGCAGGGTATAATGCCTTCATTACTCGCCTCGTCGGCATATCTCATGACATTTTTGGGGTCCAGGCATTTGGTGCGTGCTTAATTAGGACTTCCAGCGATTGCAACTGAATCCTGGCCTTCCTGTCCACGCGTATTATTTAAGCGGAAAACTGGTCTTTAAAAAGCCCTCGGGGACTCCGAAGGAGACGGATGGACAGAGGAGCTTTCGGGGAAAATAAGCAAACAAATCGAGCAGCAAGGCAGAGTGGCAGAGCCACCCACGTTGACAATGAAATTAGACCCGCTTCAAAACATTTTTGGCGAGCTGTCAGAGAAACGTCAATTTCAATTTCGAAAATAATTGATTTCCCTTGCAATTTGCGTAAACATCGCAATGAGCAGTTGAGTCCCAGGAAGTGCTAGTCAGCAAATCTGTTCCCCCAGATCCCCTGCCACCCCATTTGCTCCTTGAATTCCCCCGCCAATCCGCTTGGGTGTCTCGCACATATTTCTGAGCAAGTATTTGGAATGATATATGCAAAATGTTCCTCCGTGGGCTTTGCACCTTGCACAAATCTGTCAGGCATAAGTTATAACTTTTTATTTTCTGTTTTCGCATTTGTAGACCACATTTTTTGGCTTGAACGTGGTTACACAAGGAAAAATCAATTATATTTTATTTTATAACATATCATACATATTTTTAGAGTTATCTTAACTTTACTTAGGTACACTATAAGGACCATTTTTCAGATTAGGATGAAGAAAACATCAAGGTATCAGTAATTATTATTAACTAATTCGTTGTATTATAATAAAAACAATCAGAGACCCACATCCTTTAAATGTCAGATTTCACACTTTATAATGATGGTTTTAAACGCTTTTAGTAAGGTTTATTAGGTTAAACTGCTTAACAAAAATCGATACTTCATCGGTTCAATTCTTTTCCGTGTACAATTTTCTGTTCAACTCTTCATAGTACCATATAAATCATGCGGTTGGCTTTCCCTTGGCTTCACCCATTTTCCCCGCCCTCCTTTCACTTTTTTCTACATATATATTTTTCCGCTGCTCACTCTGGTGCGTCTGTGTGGGAAATTGCTTGAAATAATAATGTTAGACACTGGGGAGGACGAGAGGAGGTGCTGCTGTCTGTTTGTACATATTGATTGATGATTGTCAGCCAGAGTCCCAGACCTTCGGAAGGGAGAAGTTTAAATTGCCTGGGACTCCGCGCCGTTTACCCAAGGGCTAATTTTTAATGGAAATACCTTAACCCAAACTCCGCAATATGTTTGCTTTAATGTAAGGGCCGTTAGCGCCAGCTATTTTCGTAATTTAAGCGTGTTTTTCATGCCCTCTAATGGACGGGAAAATATATACAACAAATCAACCAAAAAGAGCTGTTTTTTTGGTTGTAAAAACAGACAGTACTTTGCATAAATCACGTTTTTTCTTTCTCATAATTAAACAGAGTTTACCAAGCACAATTTTAATTTTTTCGAACCCTTTGTTTATTTGGGCGTGGAAATTTATATTTTTCACCTACGTGTTTTTCTTCATATGTATATATATTTTTTGTAACAAATGTATTTTTGTCTATATTTTTGTTTATATAACAAATATCATAAAATTGATACGATCCCTGCTCAGTTAGTTTTCACTGATGAAGTTTAAATTAAAATCTGTAACCACTTTGGTAATTGGGTTCTTAATGGTTTTATGGCGTTAAAACACTTAAATAAAGGTCTAATTTACTGTCATAATAATATCAAGAAATTCTTGTTAGCAGTTGATGAATAGTTTTGTTAGGGATTCACACTTTGTCACAAGAGCAAAAGAAGAAAAGGAAAGGAAAAAACTTTTCTTCTTCATTTTCCCCGGAGAGTTTCCAGGATTCCAGGTCCGAGTCAGAATTTGCAAATTCAAAAGTTTTTGCAAAAATTGTTCGCTCCAGTCCAGTTGTCGTTTCTAATGAAGCCACAAATGCCATGTGCGATGTGGGAGCCCAGCCTATCGTCAGTTCTCCAGTTTTTCGTCGCTGTCACTTTTCCCCTTGTTTAATATTTCAAAATTGGATGTGAAAATCTCTTCGGCTGCGTGGGAGTTGGGAAATTCGGCTAAATGCAAAGCAAGTGGCTGCCAAGTGAAACCTGAAGCTGAACCCTTTTATTGGACTTTTCTTTCCAATTTTCGACACACACATACACATACGCATTTATTTGCATATTTTATTGAGAAAAAAACATGCGTACACGGGAGTACATAATGTACATATTGCATACCAGATTAGACACTTGACTTTCTGCCGCACAACTTCCTCACTTTGACCTTGACTTGACTCTCCACCCAGGGGGGTGTGAGTGCGGTCTTCCCTTCTTTATGGCCAATCAAATATGCAAACAGTGGGCGGGCACAATGAGGCATGGCAAGTCCTTAACATTTTTCGCAAATGGAATTTCATTTGCATAACTTTAGGCAAATATAAAATATAGTTTTAATACCCTGGAAAAGCTGGCTAAACTAAGCTTTAAAGGATTTCAGGAATGCTTAGAAATGATTTACTTGCGGGAAAACAATATTAAAATGTTAAGTCTATGAAAATCTCAACAATTTGACAATGTTTCGAATGAATATGAATGAATGAATGTCGTAAGAAAGAAAGATAACTTAAGCAATTCTGATAATATTTAATTATTTCTTTCAGACAAACATGTCTATAAGTTTGAAAGCAACATAGTTACATTGCATACGAATTGAGAATTTCATCATTCCCTCATAGTTTATTTTGCTAAGTTTTTAAGATCATAAATATTATTTTAAAATGGCTTAAAATAGAAATGTTCATAAATTGCACTGCCTCAAATGATGTTTTTAAGCCTTATATTGAATATATCCTTTTTATTCTTTCAGATAATCTTCGATGGCTTTACGGTGGGCAGGTTCGATGAGGGCATGGTCGACACGGACGTGGATGGTTACGAAACGAACCTTAGTCCCACCGGCGAGCTGCCCGGCTGTCCCGAGGGCTTCATGCAGGTGAGAGTGCTGGAATTCCATTTATTAAAATTCATGTTACGTGATAATAAAAATAGTTTGAGGGAAATTGTGTCCGGGAGCTGGCACTCCATTTGCCTGCGTAGGGGGTTGTAATTTTATGGCCCACTAGGAGATGTGGGCGGGGAAAAATGGGGTGGCCTTGCTGGAAGCTGGGTGGTAAATCCCGGCCAGGACTTTGGCTTGTCATCATTGGTAGCTTTCGTCGTCGTCCTCGTCCTCGTCGTCGTCGTCGTCGTCGTTCGATTCAATCAATGTCCGAGTAATTCTGTAATTTTCTGTTTGGTTCTCTGTTAACAAATACCACATTAGCCCGGCAAATTGAATTGAATGGTGCGCCTGTGTGCGTGTCTCTGCCAATATCTGTATCTGTGTGTCCCGTCGATCCTGGGACTGAGTGCTGTTAGTGTTGTTGGGTCATATCCATTTGCTTGTCTCTGGGCCAAAAAGGAGAACTATTTAACATGTCCTCTGAGCTGTGTGGTATATATTTTTATCGTAAATGTTGCGGACACATTTAGTGAGGAATGGCGATACTGTGCTCAGCCAAAATCCTGGTCAAATAAAATGTAGGAAAAAGCTCACCAAATCCCTGTAATTGACTTGTGCAATATGTTCGAAAGGCTCCCTCCGTTTCGTTGCTGTATCTGTATCTGTGTCTGTATCTGTTTTAGTTTTTGTTTCACTTTGCGAATCTGCATCTGTATCTTTAGCTCGGTTTCGGGTTGACTGGCTCAGCTTGAATCGCTTTTGATAAACTTCAGTCCGTTTGTTCGTTTCCCAGGATATCTTAAGCTGTTTTAATTTGGGGCTTAAATAAAATGTTCGCACTGGAGTGCTGAAATGCAAATGGCGAAAATAAATGTAGTGTTGCTTAATCTTGTGTTCTAAATAAATTTCATGACAAGGAAGTTGGAAGAATATATTATGCACACGCTGCATGCATTATTGAAATGAAAATGAGTCCAATTTGTTGGGGGGAAATGTAAATTTAATTGAAATTTGATCGTTTAATGTTAGCCAAATAAAAGTAAATTCAATTGAAAGTTAACATGTTAAAAGTTGTACTTATTGATTGTTTATATAATATAGTGTATAATATATCATTTGTTTTATGATTTCAAGCCCCATTTAACTCCTATTAAAGGTATAATAAAACCCTCTAGGATTTCGTGGATATTTCCAACTCCGTCCCATAATCTGTACACTTTTCTGGGGACTACAGGTTCTCATTGGATCCATTTTCCTCTGCTAACTAGGGAGGGCTTTTTTAGCCCGACGGCGGGTCCGTTGGAAAACCATAAACCTCTATTAGTTTAGCTCCGTAGGCTCGGGAAACCCCTCCGTTTTTCCCCATGGGCCGTCCAGGTATCTCTCCCGGTCTCTCTTTGTGCAACAATAAATTTTAACAAGCGTGGGGCGTGCACCGACATTTTGCGGTGCTCGTCCCAAAAAACTGGGAAAAACGGGAGCTGCAATACGGGATATGGAATAGCCATCCAGTGCAGTCGCCTGCACTCCTGGGCTGTCCTGTTGAGGTTTCATTTGGCGCTTGACATGTGTACGGCGTTGAGGGATTTCCGCAAAAGGACGAGGGGCAGCCTCTAGTTTTTATTGGCGCCACATTTTCCGAGAGCAACCGTAGCCATGCCCTTTCTGGGGGTATTTATATTCTTACAGGCGGCGCAATAAATTTATATCAGTTTCTATTGATATCAAAGATATTTATTTACTATTTAATTATTAGCTGTATTCCATACATATTGTATTATATTGGGTTTAAATTTAAAGATGCATAAATGTATCATTTTCCATTATTTCCATTAACTTTGATTTAACTTGATATGTAAATATTTTCTAAAAGATATGAAGATATGTCCTCAAATTTAAAAACATTTATTAAGAAGCAGAATGTGTGTAAAGTACAATTAATTTGATAAACTCATTAAAACGATAAAAAATGAAATTTAGTTTAATATGATTATTGCAGATTCTCTTTCTTTTTTGATTTAATATATTAATAAATAAGCGCAGCCTGAATATTTTGCTTTGCAGAGTATTTCAGAATTTTATTTAACAAACAAACATTTTCTTTCTGTTTATTTCTGGTTTCCTTCTTGCACATTTTGTTTTTACAACGAATTTAAATATTTTAAATTTTTTAACGCAACCCGCGCACTTTTGTTCAGTTTTATCATTGCAGTTGTGTATAGACTCGTAACTAACCGCAGGTTTGTGTTGTGTTTTCCCCCTTCAAAAACTCCATTTCCATCGAAGCCGGTATTTTTTTTCGCCACTGAAGGCAATTTTAACTGCTGACGCGGTTTTGTAAACTCCTCCCCGGCCCCTCGATCTGTATAAATAATGCGTGTCATGGCCTGGCCACATAAATTCTTGACCGAAACGGAAAATTTATATCCGCTGCCTTCCCACATATACGTTTATATATGATTTACCCTGTGCCGGGGCAGGCTCAGGTCCAGCGCCCCAAAGTTTCAGTTTAATCATTTATTCAATTTAGTTGGACATTCTGTCTCATGCATTTTGTAGCAGGCCAAAAGGGGAGCAAAGCTGGGCTGTCCTTATCTTGACCTTTTCGGAATTATTTTTAATAATTCAGCAAACAATCTTTGGCTGTCGGAGAAAGCGGAACGAAGGTCCTTAATATACATAGATACAAATCCTGTAACTAGCATAAGTTTATGTTCTAGTTCGTATTTAAGACAGTACAGTACAGACTCTGTATATGTGATAATTAAATTTTAAAAAATTCATTTTTCAGTAATTAATTAATTTAGTTTAATTTAGGAGGTATTGCGATTGTCTTCAAAGTCCGCTGGAAACTCCTGCAGGACCTCCTGCTGGACCTTTTAGATATTTGCTAATATTGCTTATCATAAATAATAAAGTTTATGCATAAACGTATTAACCTAAATCAACAGCAACAACAAAGCCAGCAGCAGGGTGGTACGGAAGGCTGTTATCCTTGAGTGTCCTTGCGAGAGCAGCTTGGGCAAATGATTCAATATTTGACAATCATAACAGCGCCAGCCCTTCGCCTGGCTTCCTCCTTCCTGCTTCCAGGCAAAGGACAACGGCAAGGAGTGAAAGCAGCTTGGACCTGCTTCAGTTTGTCAATAGTTTTTATTGGACTAAATACATATACACATATAATACGTATACATTGTCTAACAACTTTGCCTTGGTTAAGCTCATAACTCAACATTGACCACACGAAAGTTAGTCGAAATTTACGAGTTTTGCTGAGCAGTCTCTCAAGTTTCGAGCATTTCCTATGCTTATTTATTTGCTCGTCCCCCGTGGCTATGTATTGCAAATTAAAAGCCGTCACGCTTAAATAATGTATGTGTAATATGCCGAATGCTTTAAATTACTATAAATCAAATAGGCAGCGGCGACAGTGGGACGGAGCGGGTATTATGCGCTTAAATTGTTTCACAATTAAGTTGAAACCAGCACGACGGTGGAGTTACATCGTTGTCATTTGTTTATTGTTGGCAGATTATGAGGCGAGAAGGATTCAGCGGATGCCAGTACATCAGCAATTCAGATAAAACTTTTATCGCACTCAGTATGTGCGTGTCCTGCGTTTCAGCGATATCCTTGAGCTCCGAACAATGTTATTCAGATATTTGTGGGCTTGTCAGGAATTTATTCAAGAATCATTATCATTAGGTATTTCACAGTTTAACTGTTTTTAGTTTGATCATTTTGAACTAAATTTAAGTTAATTGTACTAGCAATACTAATTAAGCAGAAGCGCGATTAAAGAGGTAAACCCAAGTACTTAAAATATTTTGTTAATAAGATTTACCCTTGGAAGTGAAGTTTAAATCTGTTAAGATCCAAGTATATAATATAAAAGAGATGCAACTCACCTTTAAATTTCGTATTATTTTCCATTACAAAATGTTTCGAAATCTGACCTTCTACCTCCCAATTAAATGTCCTTTTTAGTTCCAGCATCATGTGACTATTCAAACTGATATGTGAGCAAATGTTTGGCCAAAAAGTCGGCCACTATTAGCCTTGGCCTAATCAAATAAATTTACTGTATAATTTAACCAGAGGGCGAGTGCGGGTCAAAAAATATCTGGCTACAATAATAATTCAATCAATTTAAAACCAACACAAAACGAGGCAGAAAAAGCAAGAGCAGATAGGGCAACGATTGAGGAAGCGGGCTAAAAGGAGAGAAAAAGGCACACACACAAGGACGAATATCCAATAATTCGTTATGAAGTCGATGCTAATAACGCTCCACTGCACACAATGGACATGATGACGATGATGAAGTGGAACGACCAATGGGGTAAGATGGTGGGAAAACTGTGTGAAGAGGGGCAAACAGGCAGATGCACTAGAAGAATTTTCAATTACATTCAAAACCAGTTCGGTAAATTCAAAACCACTTGAGCAATATTTGGATACATCTACCAAGTTTTAACATTCTAAATTGTGCAGCTTAGTGTATAAACATCTTGAAGTTTTAAAGTACTCAAAGAACATTTTACACATTGTTTATTTTCTCCAAGTGTAAGGAGAAGAGGCCTGTGTCCAGGACTCGAGCAGAGCCAGCAATGAATTTACACAAAATCGAAATCAGAAAATTACCATTATGCCGGTCAGTCAAGCCTGCCTGTGGCCATCGCCTCCTGCCTCTCCAGCTCCTGCTCCTGTTCTTGCTCCTCCTGCTGCTCTTCCAGCTTTTCCAGTCCAATCCACCAGCGATCCCCACTCATCCTGGTTATGGGCTAGAAGAGGATGGCCAATGGACTTGCCCTGGTCATTCAATATGACAGCAGCAATGGACCGACTCCTCGACTCCAGTGCAACTGCAACTCTAACCAGTTACAAATATTGGCCAGACCTCGATTGGCGACTTTGCAATTACAGCAAAAATTGTTGTTTGGGTTTGGGCAGCCGCAGGACATGTCCGGGGAGAAAGGACACACAGAAGCCCTAAGGCTCGTTGCTCGTCGGTTCAGTTCAAATAACCCATTAACTAAAAACTTAATCAATTGGAACCTCAGTGTAAATGAGCTGCCGTCGCCGCTACCGCTACCATTTTCCAATCCCCACATTTATCGACTGGTGGCCACTGACCCAGGCCGCAGGCTGGGGGGAAAAAATGTTGGAAAAAGGACGGGCAGTGTCCTCCGCCTGCTGGTATAGGCAATATTAATGCTGCTGCCTATGCGACCAGGCTCAATAAATGTCAGTTGTCCTGGGGCGAACAGAGGCCCTAGTATGGGTAGAGGATTTGTATTTAATGGGTTATGCTTCAGATACATATAGGGTGTACGAAATTGAGTGGACATATAAATACTAACTTCACCTTTGTTTTAATGTTTATTTAGGATAGTTTTACATAAAAACCTAGGTAATATGAATGATTGAAATTAATAATAGTTTAATGATTTAATCACAATATTTAGTGAATTGGTAAATGGTTTCTTTCTCTCTTCTCATACTAGAGTAATTTGAAGATATCTGTTAGTTTTTACCTTCCCTAAGAGATGCAAATTCTTATTGACTTGCAGAGTAAGGATTTTATTTATTCCAATTTTTGTCTTGTCAAAGTATTAAAATTGTTTGAATTAATATAAATAAATTTACTGCATTAATGGAGAAATCTATAACAAGGCTTATTCGATATATTCTTCTTCCTAGTAAAATTCTCGCTCCCATCTGGCTCTCGATTTCGGTTTCTGTTAATAATTTAACCACTTTACGATTGGCTAGCTTTTGGGGAACCTTTTTGGTCACAATGTAAATACATTTATGGGCCAGCACTTGCAGTGGCAATTCGCATGGCTTGCTGCCCGGTGTTGTCGCGGTGTTGTTTCACCTGCTGCTCACACACCTTCGACGGTCGCCAGCAGTTTTTCGCATACATAAAATACCTGCCCAAATGCATGCCGCAGTTCTTTTTGTCCTGGGTGCCAAGTGGCACGATGCGGAGGCAGGGCAAGGAAAACAATCAAATATTGAGCGGAAAAGGTGGTCGTTAAAATACAAAAAGGGAAAAAAGTGTACACTGCACAGCACGCACTCATAATCCATTAGCCCAACGCCAGATGGCCACCCGTAACGTGCGTTTATTAATTTTGTATGCGTTTTTCACTTACCCAGTGCCAATAAAATCAATAAGAGTGTACGAACTCTATAACTTAACCCAATTTTTTAATGTGCCAGCCAGCATGGGAGAGACCGTGTGTGTATGTGAGGCTTTAAATGTTGCGTCACAGCCCTCTGCAGGGCAAGGGAAAATTGCTTTTAGCCCTTCTGTTTGGCTGTTTCTGTGGGCGGGTGACCAACGAAACAAACTTGATTTTTAATTAATTAAATTTTTATTTATTTACCTGGCAGCTCAGCGAATTGGGACGTCCATTCACCGGTGGCTCCTGGTGCGGCAAGGCCACAGGACCGCAATTGTACTTTAGCGAAACATCCACGGTGACAGCGTCAGTGAAGGTAAGTGGGAGTGTGAGTGGGAGTCTTAGTGAGGCAAGGACACAAGCAGTTGCAAACTTGAATATTTTAAATTGTCAGAGTTTATAATTTAAAATCGACAGTGACATATAAAGCAAAATTTTAACAATAAAGAAATGTTTCATGTCTCCGAAATTGAAATAGTTGCGTTCCTTTATATTTACTCACAAATTTCATGAGTTATGCTACAAACTCTACCTATTTGGCTTAAAGAGCACACAGCAAAGTAAAGAGCTCCACATGTCCCATTGTAGCCATATCGACAGATGCATTACTTGCTTCTCATTTCCATCAACATGCTGCGAGAGATCTGAAGCCCATTCAATTATTTCTTCAGAGCAGAAAATCTCCAGCTCATCCCAAAGTTTACATGTCCTCCTTTTCGTTTTCATTTAATATTGAAGAACACTTCCTGCGCGCCACACGGCGTATGCGTAATGTTTACTTGAGGCAGTCAGGCGATGAAGCAATGCCATTGCCACTTTTTGATTAATTTTTAAATAAACGCGTTGCCATAAAAATGGGCAAATGGACAAGGGAGGCATAAAGGACAGGACACATGTCCATGCGAAGCTGCTGCACGAGATTCTGGTTTCAGTTTCTGCCGTCGAGTTGCCGCGCATAAATTATGAAAATTAATAAAAATTCATTCGGTGTGTGAGAGGGCACGGCACTCCTTCGGACACTTCTTGCCGTCCAAAGTGTTGATGAGCAGTTGACATGGCAATGGAGGAAAATCAAAGGACAATTCGCAGATTGCACAATTAAAGGGAAATTGCGATTGTAGGTGGCACATTTTAACTGTGAAATCCAAGTATCGCTAGGACTTCAGAGTAAATGCCATTTAATTTTAAGATTGACTTTACGTATTATAAATAATGACTTGTGTGTCTTTTAAGTTAGTTAAAATAACACTTTATATGCTACTATTATTTAACTTAAAAATTTATCAAAAATATAGGTATTACGATATTTATTTCGCCAAGTTTTTTTACCATTGAAGATAGGGAAACGTTGAACTCATTAAGCAACAATTGCAATTGCTTATCCTCTCACAGTCACGTCTGCGCTGGAACATTTTCACAATGATTGCACTTTTTGGCATTTTAACATTTGAAATTGCATTTTCTTACAGGTATTTCATCCCCCACGCAATATCCGAGACGAAAAGCCCTTTGAGTTCAGCATAAGATATAAATTTATAAGCCAGTCGGATGCAGTTGTGAGGTAAGTTGCTGCCCGGAAATTCCCGGCAAACTGACAAATATCTGTGCAGCTTGAAAAGTATTCAATTGATATTGGTTCGATGCATTTTCCCCGGTCCTCCGCGATCCGATTCTCCCTCCCAGTTCCCCCCAGTAATGTCATCAGTCTGTTTCAGCTATTCCCGCTCCGGCTTTCATCTTTCTGTAGATGTTTCTATTCGAAGAAGATACTTGCTTAAAACTTAAATCGTTCTACCTGAAAGAACAATGCCACTTGGTTGCCTTGGGGATGGCTTTTTGGGAAAATTGAGGATACGGAGAGGAGATGGGGATGCTGCCTACATAAAACATGAGCTTCGTGAACCGACTGTCTGGATGTTCAATAGAATTGCAAAAGTATCCTCACCTCGTGTATTTGCCGTGCAATCCATTTGTGCACCGTGCTTAGGCATGTGTCAAATTTGTCCCTGTATTGTAGGTCCTTTTCACTTACTTTTCCATGTGTCGCGCTTTTTGTTTGCGCGTGGAAAATTAGAGAGTGAGCAAAATAGAAATGGAAATGTATTCTCACGGTTCAATGGGTTTCGCAGAAATTTGCAAGACAAAATAACAAATCGTTTTTGAAATCATTTTCAAGGCAAAACTCAAAATAATATATATATATATGTGACAGGAACTCCTATTTTAAGCTTAATGCTATATAAATAATATAATGTTAAAGTAGATGATATTTCGATTATATTTATTTCAATTTAAATTCATTTTGGTAATTTTGTTCCGGTCATAAAATTACTCAATATATATTTTGTCCCTGGTTTTTGTTCGAGTGCGAGAGCATCGTGTACACACACCATTAGCAAACTAAACAAGGATGCGAGTCCAGGCTTGACCATCTATACACAAAAGTGGGATTCGAGTGGGTGTGATGCGTGTGGAATACCCGTAGCACATTTTATGCAAATTTCTGGTCTTTGTGCTTTTGTTCCTGCCTTAAATACCATTCAAGGGATACACCCACGAACCCAATGCGAGCATGAACTCACACGACACTTAGTGAACTGGGAACTGACCCCTCGGCCTCATTTCCACCTTTTCCAGATACGGACTGCCCGATAAGCCGCTCGAATTGGGCCGTGTGACACCCGGCACCTATTGTACCAGGCAATTCGATGAATGCTATCGTAACAAGTGTCGCCTGCAAAGTCCGAATTATCCCGGAATGTATCCGAGGAACGTAACCTGCTACTGGACGATCCGGCAGAAGGAGGTCCCGACCAGCAAGCACGCCATGATTGCCGTCAGCCAGGAGAATCAGCACAAGGCCTTGGTGAAGCGGTAAGTGCGGGACCTGGACTCCGAATGTTCAAGAATGCCCTGCAGAATGTCGAATGACTCCCGAAAATTCTATGCCACCTGCACTGGAGAGCATTAAATAAGCATTACCAAGCATTCTGTCCCCCTGCTCCCAGGCATGGGATACGATACACAACATAACACATATCCCGGCCAGCCGGGCGAAGTGCATCTGTGTCTGAATCTGCATTTGTATGACAAATTTCAATTTAGCAAATTGCTAGGCGAAGTTCCAGTTTGCAGTTTGTTAACTGACGGAACAAATGAAACTGTTTCGTGTCCGAGAATGTTGAGCATTCGTCGTCGCCCAAAAAGTTTTGTATATTCCAATTAAATGCAGCAAACAGCCAGCCGCCACCCGATGCCATTTGTATGCAAAGCCGTATTAAAGGCCACAACGTGCAGTTTCTAATTGTATTAATGGGATTAGGTAAATCCATTTCTCATAAAAGCTTTCATTTACTACATTTTTGAAAATAAAATCGAGTTTGAATCGGATATGAAAAGCTTATTTTAAGCAAGTTAAAGCAGACCATCAATAGAGTTCGTATATAATATGTTTAAGAACAGATTTTAGAAACTATACCATATTAGAGGTAGTAAAGATATATTTTAAATTTAAATAAATCAAATGTAGGCATTTTATAAAATCATTTTTGTAAAGGAAATGTTACAACAATAAAGAGGTGGCTGGATCAACTCCCCATTAGAATATATTTATTAATTTCAAATTGATATTTAAATTTGTTTTAACAGCTCAATTGCTAGCTTCAACAAAACCTCACGATCCATCCGTGCGTGGTCGGACTGTACAGGTGAAAGGGATCACCTCATTTTCTACGACGGCAGTTCCACCAACGATCCTGTTTTGGCCAAATACTGCGGCGGAGATTGGCTGCCACGCGTCGTTTCACGGTGAGTTCAAATAATATCACATTCCCAGGATCTCATGATTTTATGCTTCTTTAATATAAATAATGTAAAGGAAAGGGGACGGAGAGGCAAGTTGGACAGACGGAGGACATTTATTTAACGCCATTTCTTCCCTTTTATGAAAATGTTAAATATGAGCTCGGCAAGGCTCATAATACATTTACAAGAAAAGATAGACAGACATTTTTAATGAGCATGGGTGTGTGGCAGTGTGCCACACTACATTTGTGTGTGTGGCACCCATAGTGATGCGAAAAAGTGAATTTTAGGAAAAAACTTATAGCCTAACATTAGGCACATTTTGTTAAGTTTTAAATAATATTTTAAACGAAATAAAAATAGGGTTATTTTGAGCTTAAATTTATACAATTAACTTGTATATTGGAAACGAATATACAAAAACTTATATAGTTTGAATAGTTCAAAAGAAGCTGATCTAATTGGTTTTAAAAAAAGCTAGGTAAAGCATATTTTAAAACTTTCAAAATACCTTTGTTTCTTCCTTTAATTTCCTAGTAACTTCTTTATTAAATTTACAAATTTATAACGTTCTATTTGTGATTTTTCTATCGTGATTTTTCAATCACTGTGATCAGTCTCTTTCCCCTCATCACTGGCATTTTCGTGTCACTACGACTACGACTATGTGTGTGTGTGTGTGTGTGTGTGTGTGTGTGTGTGTGTGTGTGTGAGGAAGGACCGCAGCCTAGTGCACTGCACTGCAGTTTTGGCCCGGGGCGCATGTGTTCCAATTCAGTTACACATAGATACAAAGCCACACATAGATACACAACACATGGATATGTAGCATGTCCGCGTGTTGGTGCGCCTTACAATTGTGCGCAATGCTTAAGCAAAACCGGAAATTGGGTTGCTCGGCAGACAGAAGCCGAAGGACGGACGGACGGACGCTGAAAAGTGAAAAAGAGATACGAAACTCGAGATAGAGATACATTCACACATGAAAACGCATTATGGTGCAGGAAGCATCCTGGCGCACACAGAGAAACAAATAGATTTATGCTGCCGTTTGAAACTTTGCTGCTTGTGCCATCTATTGAAAACATTTTGATGCATGTGATTTATGCAATGGCAAAATTTTGCTCATTAGTTGCCAAGTTGCCAGCACTTAGATCATCAGCCATAAATTCTTAAAGACTCCCCAGCCTTTCAAAAGCAATTTCAAGTTTTCCAACTCCAGCGGTTGGGCACACACACACACTCGCACGGATACCTGCTGCGGCTTACAGTTTGGTTTTAAGCAATTAAAATGCAACTACTAATAGTTTCAGCCGAGTTTTTAGGACAAGTCCTCTCATTAGTACAATCCGTCAGAACTTGTGTTAACTTTATGGTATGGCAAATTTTTTAGGATTTTCTTTAACTTGCTAAAGTGTCATGTAATATGTGAGAACTTTAAAGGTAAAGTAAACAAAACAAACTGTTTTTCTCTTTAAATAGAATTTAAAAATTTTAAATCTTGATTCTCTTTAATTTTTCAGACAATTTTACTGCACTGAGATGTCTCACTTAGGTTACCTTGAATAATTTAGAGACCATAAAACAAATAACACATTTATCACTTGAAATCCGGAACTACCAGTTCATTTGGTTTAGATTGTCATAAATTCTTGTGGGTCTGCTCTCGAAGCACTTAAAAACACTTCCAGGACATACCCCAAAATGCTTGAATGCAGCTCTCAGCCACGCCCACGCCTTTACGTGGCGTTCAAGGGGCCGAGTCGCCCTCCAGCCCGTCCCTTCATATCCTTACAGGCACCTTGGCTCCCCTGCCGACGCCTCTGGCCATTTATCTAGCACTCAAGAATTTGTTTTTGTTGTCTTTCGGTCTTCGGTCAGGGCCAAAAGTTAGCTCCCCCCAGGGTCTCCTTTGGCCACTCGGAGACCTCTTGAGACAGGCACATAAACTTTGATTTTTTTGTGAGGTTTTCCTTTCTGCCGGCTATGCAGCTGAAAAAATATCTACGATGCGAAATCAGATGCAATCTAAATTCAGCCGAATTTTAAAGTTTTTAATTTCAAGAAAAATTGAAGCTTTTTCAGACTTGTAGTTTTCTAACTACAAATTTGCAAGTAAACGGTTAAGAATTATAGTAATTTTATTTTACTACACAGATAGGTCTGAAATCTTTATAGCAACATTTTCAGAATTTTTAGAAAATTCTAAGAACAGTTTCCTGAATCATTTATTTACTAGCTTCCTGCAAATTATAACTGGTCGTTTATTAAGATGACGCAATGACGATGATCGCTCAGCCTTGTGGCCCCTTAATCTCTTAATGAGTTGCACTCTCGCATTTATTGACATCCTTTCCGTATCCTTGGGAAAATCTTATAAGCGTGCACAGGTGCCAAAGGGGAGCAGGCTGGAGGGGCAGAGGGTGGCACATCAAATATGCATAGAGCGTAATATGCACATGAAGGAGAAAACGAACGAAGCAAAAGACGCTCAGAGAACTTGATGGAAAAGTGGGTGCCCAAGAAAAACGGCATTAAGAAGCCAGGACCGTAGCTCGTGCACCGCTTTCCACAATCCCCCCTCCCCCAACCAATCCCTCAGCTGCCAGGTTTTCTTTTTTCCATGCACTGAAACACATAAAGTATTTCTCATGTCTTTAATTCGAAAAAGAAGTAGGAAAAAAAGGTTCAGAGATTATTAATTCGCTAATTTATTTCTCTAATTTTTAGATTATAGACCAAAGGTATGGGAATAATCCTATTCAAAATCATAATCTTAGCATTCAAAAGATAATAATTTGTTTCCTGTACATTGCGTCAACGTCGTACGCGACATGAGCATACGAATTATAAATGCACACATACACGTGACGGGGGAAGCCCCTTTCCTTCGTCGGCAAACATCTCTCGCTTTACTTCTCACCTCAGACATGGTTCCCCGACTTTCGGGAAAATCGCATATGCACACAGGGAGGGGAGAGGAAGGGAAGATGGTGAGGGAAAAGCTACACGAAAATTATTAATTTCCCAGCGCAACTTAAAATTGCAACAAGCTAAAGGTGCCGTGAGACGTTCGTATTTTATTGGTTTCTTTTTCTCTCGTTCCACAGTTTTTTTTATTTTGTAGAGGGGGTACGAAAAAGCTGGAAAAGTTGGGTTTTCCCCTCAGCTGCAGCAGCTGTTGCTTTTCCTCTAAGTAAATGTTAATTTTTGTTAGCCAAGAAAAGAAAAACTCAAAGCGATAACTTTTTAAATTGCATATTAATTTTTTATGGCAAGACTCAACGCCCAACCTCCTCCCCCCAGCTTTCCGCTCCACCTGTTTTTTGTGGTTGCACTTTGCGGATTAGGTTGCCGGAAAATCGGGGCACTAAGGGTGGGATGTTTACTTTCGGTTAATACTAATTTTCTGAAGGGGATTTTGTCTGGAAAAGGCTTTGCTTAAGAACTTAATGCCTCAGAGTTGAATACAAATTCATTTACCAGGAACTTGAAATGAAAAATATATATTTATCTATCTTTATATACCCATAACTTTAAAAATAAATCAATACTTTGATACAAATCTAATCAGAATGAGAGTAGAACGCGGTGATGCAATGATATATAGTTCTTATCTTATTGGTTTAATGTTTATTTTGCAACTTTGACATTTAGTGCATCTCAAAATAAAACCTTGGTATCAAGGTTGTGACAAAATCAAAGGTCTATATTATCTTCCTCTGTAATTAATTCAAATTACAATTGAAACTGTTATAAAGCAAGTGTATTCACCACTTGTGTGTTCTTTTTTTTTTCTTGTAAATCGAAAAACCTCCTGATGCGGCATCCGAAGTTGCGTATAATTCACTCAGTCTCCTTTAATCACTTGAAATTCTCATGCACTCCGGAGTTCACCGCCAAACACCGGGCATGCAGAGGCAGTAGAAGCCCCCGGGGTAACCACAAGTCCATAGAGTTTCGGGGGCAGAGGTTCTGGCAGGATACAGCACTGCCATTTGCGGTCAGGACACTCTGACGCTTCGGAGAAGTTTCCGTGTATTGATAACCGACAAAGGAGCGGCGTTTTGGGGTCGGGACGGACGGTGGGATGAGCAAAGGACCAGAGCGAGGAGGGCCCTTGGCTATGGATTCGTGTTGATTTTACGACACCCACAAGTGTGCCGCAAGCCATAAAGTAACCAAATGCCACGCAAGTACGCACATTCAGAAACTGGGACTCACTCGGGGAAAATGTTTTCTCAAGTTTAAATTGATTTTAGATCTACAGAAGCACTACTCCATGAATAAACATTAAATACATACTTAAGACAATCCTTGGTAATTAGTTTTCATAAAGCAAACAAGCTGAGATTTTAAACACATCTCTTTGAAATTTAAAAGTGACTTTTGACGACATTTACAAATTTATTAGATTCGTTTTTTAGAGTGCACCCACACACACAAAGAGAACAGGCGAAAAGGGCATTCCGGAGTAACCAGGACATCCCCCTGGTGAATTCCAGGGTCTCCGAGTGGGGACTGGGACCCGGCATTTGTGTCGCTTTATTAAAAATTAATTTACTTTTCATTTGCAGTTTATTGCACTTCGCACTGACACAATCATTGCAGCTGCTCCACCAGCCCCGTCCACTCCTGCCACTCCGCCCCTCTAATCCAGGGCCCCCGTCCAAGAGCACGTTTCGCTTAAATAATAAGGAGCTTTGCCACTCACACTTGGCCACACTTACACGTATTAAAAAGCCATTTCGTTGGCCATGTTTGATGGCTTTTGACATCGTCTGCGTGTGCGTTTCTTTTTAAGTGTTCAAAGTCCTGGCTTAGGTGGTTGTATGCGTATATGCGAGGGAGCTCAGATCCTGTTTTATTTTATGCCAGGCCATATTACGCATACGCCGTATGTGGCCACCTCTTGCCCGGGCAATAAAAATTCAATTTGATGTTTAAATTGAAAACTTTGAACGTAATTTATGTGGTCATGAATGCGGCATGCTAACCAAATGGAAAATATGGGGGATACCTGAAAATGGAGTTTGATTTTATATTCCTTGTGACGATACTATCGGGCGAAAGTTAAAGTACATAGTATCCTCTACTGTTGCCTTAAAATTCAGGCTATTTGCAATGGAAATTTGCTCAAATTTATCCATTTTGTTGGATTTACTTAAAGTCCAGTTATTGATGCATATATTCGTCATCATTGCTGCTAGATAAATGATTTTAATACAGAATATTATTTTTCAGTCTCGAGCATTCTATTAAAACTAAATTCGAGTCGAAATGATAACTTGAATGAAAATTGTCCTCTTGGCCATAAGTATCCAAAGTTTTATGAGCACTCGATGTCATTTCCATGGCTCCTGATTCACCTCTTACACCCACACCCATACACACCCACACACACACCGAATGCAGCTCGATTCCGCCCACCGTAAAATCTGGCGACGCGCCGTCTACAAATACAGACAGAGAAAAAATGGGAGCGGGTGAGCAATGCTTTTGGTGCAACACCCACAGGCGACTGACATTTCATAATTTTTGGCCAGCAAAATCAAAAGACAAACGGCAAAATTTTTGGCCCGACTCGACTCAGTTACTTTGTTATGCCAAAAAATTTGCCTAAAACTTTTCGTACACCTCCCCAGCGACCAGCGGCTCCCGGCTCCCGGCTGCCACCCACCCACCAACGAGACAATGGCGAAAAAAGTTAATTTGGCAGCAAAAATGCGTCATACTTTTGGGCGTAGAAGCTCGTCGGCATTCTGGCAAAACGCCCACCATGCCGCTTGTTTGTGCTATTTCGTGGGCTTTTCGGATTGTTTCGGGCTGTTTTGGGTTTGTTGCCTCTTTCGTGGGCAAAAAGTTTACGACTTTTCTTGTTTGCCGAATTGTGCAAATTAAATTTATGTGAGCCAAAGTTTTTTCACGCCTCTAATTGGAGTGCCAGTGGCCTGGTTATGGACAAACATCACGAGCACCGCCATCCGACCATACAACGTGGCGTATGCGCGATATTGGCCAAAACTTTTGAGATTTCTTTGAAAGAAACTTCTCAAGCGCATGGGGGTTGCCAAAAGCCACTTATTGGCAAGTTTTATACAATTTAAAACAAATAAGTAAGACAATATTGTGTTGAATTTAATCATTTTACAAGGCAATAAAGCGATACAAGTCTTATAAGACTCGAAGTTTGAAATAAACTATATTATATGTTATTAATTAAATATTAATTTATAAACAGTGAGATCTTAAACAAATAAGTAAGACAATATTGTGTTGAATTCAATCATTTTATTAGGCAATAAAGCGATACAAGTAGGTAAAGTCTTATAAGACTGGAAATTTGAAATAAACTGTAATACATATTATAAATTGAATATTATTTTTTAAACCGTGATACTTACCTAATAAAAACCTAACCTAAACTAGTAACTCTAATTTAATTTAAATTATTTTCTGTATTTGTAGTGGTCCGGAAATGCTGGTGGCTTTCCACTCTAGCCCATTTTCCGCACCCTTGCAGCAGGGAATACCGAATCGCGGCTTCGAACTGGACGTGGACATATTATTTACTGATTCCGATTCGTTTGACTTTGCCCAAGGTACCAAGAACCTATGTGAATTTCACGTTAATGCCTCGAATCCAGGTAAGATAAACTATCATTAATTAATATAAATATTCAAAAATTGTGACAATTATGACAGAACCCAGATGATGTAGCAGGGCTGGTCTTATTTGCTGGCACTATATATACGTTTGTATATGAAAACAGTAAATACGTTAATTATATAATAACAATATAAACAAAAGCCTTATATTCGATATAAGGTGTTTGTCATATAGTATAATAAAGATATGGTTAGTATTTTTCTAAATTTAACCAACATCAAGGATATTTCAGAGCAAAAAACTGAGTCGCTCTTATTTGATAGCTCAAATTATAAACGATTCTTGGTTGGGCATTTTATTGGCTGCTTAATTGCCAGAAAAGCAAAAAGAAATGCTGAAAGGCTCCCTTTTCCATGGAGTGTAATCGGAGTAGTTTGGCGAAGAAGGAGTCGCTGAGGTGTTCGTAATTTAATGGCAGTAAACGAAACTACAGATATAGCCTCCGATTAGCCGTTGGCCCTAATCTAAGCAGACTAAATGAGATTTTAATTAAATTCAAGGCCAGACGAAGAAACCCCCATGGAAACCGAGGGCGTAAGCCGGCCAAATGGCTTTTTAGGCTTCAGTTGATCTGGCCACCAAAAAGAAAGTATGAGTAATTGCTTGGGCAGCAGATAATGTTTGAAACAAGTAAAAGAAAGTCGGAAAAGTTGAGCGAAACCCCATTGGGAGAGGAAAACGTTAGCGGGAATGAGGAGTTTATTCGATTTGGTCTTAACTTCATTTTAATTATATTTATATTTAAGGAAAAATCTGATTTATTAGCTTGAGAAATTGATGGATTTTTCACCATTATTTGAATATAATAAAATTTAAACAAAAGAAAAAGGCTTTAAAGGAGAATATTCATTGAAATTTATAAAATTTTATTATCTCTTTTTTTCACAATATATATTTGCATTGAATTTAATTTGCAGCTCCTCGCTTTGCCATTAATTAATATACCTCGTTAAGTTAATATTCTTCTTCAAGATGTGCTTATTCTAAGCTTGCTTTTCCCATGGCCCATAGCTCCTCCCCTTTGGTTTTCCACCCGGATTCTGCTCCTAAGCTTTCCTCTCGGCTTGTCATCTCCTGAAATTTCATGCTCCCCGGTCGGCAGTCAGCTGCATTTAATTGAAAAATTATTAAATGAAATTTCAGACTGCCCTTCTGCACCTCTGGAGCCTCTGGAGCCTCTGGAGCCTAGGAACCCAGGACCCCGGAACTCTGGCGCTCCATCAATTTAGTGCAGCGGCCACAGTGGTGGCCAAAAGTAGGCAACGCCATGGCAGCCGCTAATGTTCATTAATTTGCACTTAATAACTTTTGAGTAGATTTTATTTTGCTGGCCAAACCAAAAACGCTGGGCATTTATTATTTTCTCCTACGCTTCTTTATCTTGCAAAAAAAAAAGAATATAGAAAGCGGAAAATTGAGAGAATTCCCATTTAAAATTAGTTTTTTGCTTGAGCTGGCAATTTCGGGGCATAAAAGTATAGGGAAAATCAACTCATTCCCTGTTTATTTTCCCCATTTTCCCTTACACAACGGCTTTTCTATGCCTTGTTGTTGTGCTCATTAACTTCCCGGCTTATACATACATACATATATACAAATTTAGGTGTTGTTGTTTCTGTTTGTGCTTAATTTTTGACCGCTTAACTTTTGTGAAATGCCTTTCGTCCTGCATCTCCTTCTCACTTCGGCCTTGCTTAATGCGTTGGCTGGGAAATTGAACAGATGTGTCTGCTATCATTAGGCGAAATTGTTGGGGAGGAAATGCCCATTTGGTGGCTATATCTATCATAGTTATAATCCATTCCAAGTACAAGGTGACGGAGCTTTAATATCGGAACTTTAATAGTGTTCAAGCCTAAAACGAAATACAAACTATTTTTTAATAGGGTGGGTAGCATTATTTCATAACTTATTAACTAAAACCAATAAAGACATTCATTAGACTCCCGGCATCGATAAATACTAATCACAAATAACAAATCGCATTCCGTTAATGCAAACTGTTTCAGAAATATCAAAAATGCCACAAATTCCTTCAATTCAAGCGAAAATATTGCGGCGCGTTTAATTAGAGAAGCCCGTCCAGCGAGTGAAACATTTATTTATAATGGCCAAGTAGCCACACAAGGCGATTTTCCGGCTGGGCGGGGCCAGAAGGAGTTGGCTAACATTTCGGGCAAACAAAGCGCTATAATTGTTTTGTTATCGACGCACACAAAACACGCACCCGGGGAATCCCCCCTCAGTGTGGAAGGGGCAGCAGCATTGCGCGCTACAAATAAATTATTAGGGGGAGGAGGGGGTGCAGCATGATTTTAATTAAAGTTTTAACGAAAACCAAATATTTATCGTTTCATTTTGCTTTCATTTGTTCGCTGTGTGAGTGTGGGTGTGCGGTTTTTATACCCCAGCACCGCTCCGGCTCTCTTTTGCCATCATTAAGCATGTGGGGATGCTAAATTCAATATGCATTTGTATTTGAATATTTGAAAATATCAACAGGGGAACAAGGACAATTTGTTATGTTCGGCAAAGGTCATGGCAATGTTATACATAACATAATCATCAGCAGTGCTTTATTCAGGATCCTTTTGCGATAATCAATGCAAAAGGGTGCCAGGGACCACGCGGCGTATGATTAATAAACTGCAAATGCAAATGCTTTGTGTGCCAAAGTTCGCTCTCTTCGCTGATTGCGCAACAAAATCTGTTGCATATTTAATTCGGTTTGATTTGGCCATAACTTTTCCAATTAAGTTTAATTAAATGTGCAACTTTTCGCCCAGTCGAAGCGAAGAAAAGCCCTCTGGGTTTGCGGTGTGTGTGTGTGCGTGTTCGTGTCGATTTTAATTAAAATTTGTTTGCTTGTTTTACTCGCTGACAGCTCCTGAAAAGTCTGCGTTTAAAGTATGTTTCATCAGTCGGTCTCACTGCTGACATTAACCAAAAGGTCCTTCCGGGAACTGATTGTCATAGCTGCCAATTGGCGAACCAATTATATCCTAAAAAGGATTTCTCCGTCAGCCAGGCGTTATCTGACCCAATCAATATCCGATTCCGTCTGGATTCCCTAATTAGTGCTAATCAACTTCAGCCCAACATTCCACATGCAATAACCGTCCACAAATGCGGAAAAACTTCATCGTGCGAATATTTGACATGTCCATTGGCATGGCAACTTCTCTCCCACATCCACCTCCACATCCACAGAATGATAATTCCGCCAATCTGAGTCGGGTAATAAATTACCCCGTATGAATCGCTGTAAGATTCGCCCCAGATCATTTGTGCCAACTAAGCAGGCACAACTGGAATACACAAACATCGATGGAAACCTGAGGGGGGAAAATGGATGGGAGAGCGGGAGATGCTGGAAATTTATGGCTTTTCAGACGGTTTCCGGTTTATGACTTGCTCCATGGCCTCTAAGAATATTCGAATATTACAAAAATAGGCAACAAAAGTGTTGACAATATAATGAAAAATATTTATTGATAGTAAAAATATCTTAAATACAACATCACTTTTTCCTTTTTATACAAGTGAAGTGACTTTTAATTTATCTATTATATTTTCTAGGAAATATCAACATTTCTTATTTCCAACTCCCATTTCAGAGAAGATTCTTTCACCTACACATTCCTTGACATAAATAGATTTCAATTATAAAATAGACAACTGTAATCGCTTCAAATTTCCCACATTTTACCCTTATTAGGCCGACAGTGTTGTACTCTTATGTCTCTTTAATTGGCAATTCAGCTGAAGTTGTTTTGACGTTTTACTTTTCATTGATTTACGGATTAAATGCTGATGAAATAGTTGGGGGAAAAACCACCAGTATGCCTCAATGAATCGCAAGTTTCTTGTGGAGCCCTGCCAAGTAGCTCAAACCATCTTTACAACGCTTTTCTCAGCTGTTGTTACACCTAAAGTTTCGTAAAGTTTTTCTGCAAACTTTAAACAAAACCTTTCAATTTTGTTGCCTTTCTTCGCTCTCTCCTTTTTCTTTCGGCACGTTTGTGGAAATTTTCCTTTTTAATTTCATAAAGTCAACAGACGAAAACAAAGAAAGGGAAAGCAAACAATGAGGCGTGGAGAGCAGCGGGCAAAGACAATGGAATTTATATTTAATATGTTGGCGGGTGGAGTTTCGTCTCTGTTGCAATATGTAAAATTATAGGTATCCTGAGAAATTATAGGAGGAGAAAATGTTAATGTGAAAAGTGATTTATAAATTAAAGAGAACGAAATTTTCACCAAGCGAATTTATAAAAAGAAGTGATTTAAATTGTATTTATAGTTAAGGAAGTTATTTCTAGGCCAGCATAGAGTCTGGCATGTCTTTAGAATTATTTAAATCTATTTCTAGAATCTTGAACTTTGTTAATTGTTTTTGATAGTTTCTTAACTTATTCAAGAATTTTTCACTCTTAATATTTACCTGTTCATAACTTAAAAATATAGATAGATACATTGGTTTTAGAGAATGTGTCCAACATTTATTGTTTAGCTTTGCGATACATCTGTAAGTCAAGCACATTAAATCGGTCGATATTGGCTTTATTTCTCCGATTTTCCATCGTGGTCCATCGGGGAAGGGGTGGCAGTGTGCGGGGGATGAATTTCCAACCAGAGGGAACTGCGATGTTATAGAAGCCGGGGAATATTTGCTGTTTAGTTTGCTTATTGAGTTGCAATTTTGTTTGCAATCAGCGGATGGCAAGAGGAAGCTATTGGAAACAACAACTGGAAGGGCGAAGGGATGCCGGCGGATGGGGAAAGGGGAAAGGGGAAAGGGGGAGGAAATGATTGGCAAACAACAAATTAGCATATTTGCACATAACGGCACATTTTATTTGCACTCTAGTGTGGGTGCGTATTGAAATACATGTACATATACGTATGTATGTGCTTTTATGTAATATCAATATTTAAACGTGAATTTGTCAATGAAAAGCAAAATTCTAGCAACTTTCTATTAACTGTGTGCCATTTTTTGTGGGTTTTGATTGTTAGACAAATATTGAAAATATTGCAGCTTGTTTATTCATAAATTTATTCCGATGAGCAGCGATTTGCAGCGAGCATTTGTTTTAAAGAGCGCAAATCGATTTAATTTGGCAGAGATCGGGCTTATCTGAACCCTTCAGCATTAATTGGCTGAAAGCTTTGGCAACTTAATTTTCCATGGAAATTAATTATTAGGGCAAACACACAAAATACGCCATTTTCCATTGGGGACACCGGGGCATGCCTCTGCATATATTTATTAAGCCACTTTCTGCCGCCAGCTGAAAATTTTCTAAATTTCGGTCCTGGCCGCGCACAAAAACATTATTAACTTGCTCGATGTGGTACGTATTCTTATGACCAACAAATGTGTTGGCAAAACTGGCACTGGGGGCAGAAAGAATTTATGTTTTTGTTTGTTTCTCATTTACTATTTATTACGTTTAATTTACTTTGTTGGCCAGACCAATCATATTTCAGTATTTGGTTCGGAGCGTGGCACTAATTTCGGTTATCGGTCAATTTGGAATACATATTTAGTGTGGTTCAGTTCAGTTGCAGTTGTTTGCAGGAGAGAATATTCACTATGTTTAATTTGGATAATATTGTTAAAAATTAATTATAAATATTTCACACTACCACAATAAAATATTAATTAATTAATATTAATTATTAATAATGAATATGAATGCTTAGAAAATGCAGTCTAATAAAATATAAACAAATGCCAAAACTTAGCCAAATGCGTACCTTTCCACTAAGCTCTAATCATATTAATTGTGTTCTTTAGCACAATAATTATTGTAATGACAATGAAAAGGTTAATATTTTCCATACAGTGTTACAAATTTGAACTACAATTGGAAATTGAGTCATTTGAATTTAATCTAGCATAATAAGAAATTGAAAACCTCTAAATAAGGGTATTGAAAATTCATGAAGTCTAAGCTAAATTCAATCCATCAAACAAATATTAGGAGCTGCTTTGTATTATATTTTAAAACTAGGATTTATTTTATTATAATACATAATAAAATCATTTTGAATTACTATTTCAAAATATATGATTTTCTACTAAACCAAATTTACGGCAATCAAAATGATTAAAACTGACGAAAGGTTAATGAGGCAAACGATAATTTGCAGAAAATAAAGTATTTTAAATAAGTCGACAGAACCTGACGTATGTACGTATTTGTCAATTTAATGTTGAATGACCATTAGGCTTATGGCGATTTACCGGCAACGAAAACCAATCCAGGACCATCAAATATGCGTGACAATCCATTAAGTGATATATGGCGAATATATAGACGGCATGGGGCAGCATCCACTTGCATTTTAAATATCGCACAGGATGGATTCGGTTTCTGGCCTGGCTAATTGTTTGAATGTGTTAAATGTAATGCAGCATAAAATGAAAATAAACAGGCCGGACTGGGAAATTCGCCATGGGAAGATACAACACACACAAACACATACGCATAACAGCCTGCAGGGAAAATTCTATTTCATTTGCGCTCGGGTTTGGCCCGAAAATCGAAAAACAACAAAAACAGCGGCAATAAACAATCAGCGAGGAAAAGGGCATGAATGGAAATGGAAATGCTACTCAATCAGCAATAGTTAGGTGTTCCAGGACCCCCTTTTCTGGCCTTTCCCAGCCCTCGCCCATACATTCCAATTCGTGCAATCAATAAGGGTAACACCCCATAATTTAATGCCCCAAATGTGTTGCGACTACATTTTGCGGCTTTTGGCCGAGAGGAAAAAATACAAAAGCCACCGAGTAACCGTTACCATCATTTCGCCACCACCGCCGGCGGCCCAAATGCACTCTAATAATAAATCGCAAAATAACAATTTTATTGCCAGCGCTTGCGGTTTCACCAATACCTGGTCCTGGTCCTGGTCCTGGTCCTGGCCCAGGTATACGTACACACCTGTCCCTGTGCCCAGTGTTGCCACTCGATAGTCACACTTTACGGCCAGCTGATAAGCATATTATTATTATTGCTGCTATTACGCACCCACACAGTCACTAGCCTGAATTATTCCGAGTGTGTTTGTGGGGATATATAGTAGCTATATGGCCCAAAGGCATGGCCAAAGGAACACTTATTGTTGTATGGCCCACGCAGTCAGCGCAAATGTGTCGAAGCGAAATTTATTACTGCGAACTTGGGCAACTGTAGCCAGCGAAAATTAGAGGTGTGCTCGTGAGATAGTTTTCCTTGATTTTTCAAAAAAAAAAGAAAAATATTTGTTGTATTTTCTGTATGGAATATTTTTGAAGAATGTCAAAAGGAAAACTTTGAAATATAGTAATTAGAAATATCTCAGTTAAGTCTTAAGTCTTTGTAGACCATCCGGCTCGAAGGATCAAAAGTGACAAGCACTTGGATGGCACTATCTCTTATCTGCTATTATATCACCACTGCTAATTCTTTCTCTTTTCATTAATACAGATATAAACCGATCCTATTTAAAATTTCTTGACTATTTAATGTTCAGACTACAACTATTTTACCCGATTTTGTTACTTTCTAGTATTAATCGGAAGTCCCAGTTCATCCCTTGTACCTTTAATATTTCACGGCTCTAATATATCAGATATATATATTTTCCGTTATTCTTTTCCTATTCTCCATATTCCATCTCTAGATGTGAGTGCTCCCGGCCATCTGTTAACTAATTCACATGCCATGGCAGGAATGGCCAATGATTACATTTCATGTGCCATATGCAGGACTCTACTCACACACTCTCATGCGAGTCCTTGTGGGCACACCTCTATCCACACCCAATGCCATACCATACCTATGTATCTCTATATACATATATGAATCTCTCATGTGCGGAGTTGTCGATTATTTTGAGAATTTTAGTTGATATGTGAAATCACAATTCCCCAGTGTGCTAAAAAATGTTATTGAGATTTCTGTTGACAGTTTCGACTGCAAATTTAATGAGTGTTCACTTTGGTTGAGCCACTCCGCACAGAAGGGCCTGAAAAGCCGCTCTCGCATGCATTTGAAATATGAGTTAAATTTGATTTGTATATTTCAAACGACAGAAATGGAATGAACAATGGATTTGAGGTTTTTGAAACAATGTTTTTATTATTCCACTCCCTGCCTGTACCCCCTTCGCCGTGCCATGGGAGTTTTTTAAACTCCCATTCAGGTTGCTGTGAAGGAGCAGCTCATGTTTAAAGGCCACTTTACTTTTATATGCCACAACCAGCGAAATGTGACAATAAAAATCTCATAAAACCGTATTACTTAGCTAGCACTCTCACACACATTCGGGATACGGCGGAAAAATAATACAACGAGACGTCGTTACACTTGACAAACTTTAGTGTTCAACGTCTGTAAAATACAAAAGTACAAGTGAAGGGAATAAATAAATAATATAATTAATACAACAAGTAATATGTATAATATACAATAAGTTCTTAACAACTAACTGAAAGTCATTTATAGGAACTAACTGAAAGTCATTTATAGGAATGATAAAGAATTTGGAAGATCTTTATTAAATCTTATTCCGTTCTGAGTATTGACAAGGTTGTACAATTCATAAACATTTACACTACTGAGATAGTGGAAAAACGAATATTATATGGTTAATTGTTGTATTAATAATAATAATTCTTAAGATTTCACATTTAAATTTAGAATTATTTGAATTTTTAAAAGTGTACTAGGGAGCCGCTTTCCAACCAGCATCGATCTTTAACTTCTGCTTTCTCCCACCCAAAAAAACGGAGCCCAACGGGCCGACAACTTTTGCCTTGTGGCAGCTGCAGCAACTTTTCCCTTCTGTCTGCCACTCGATGCGGCACGGCACACATCAAAAGTCTCCGCGCCCCCCTCTCTGAACGCCGGCAAGTTGGAAAAGCTGTCGCAGCGGCTAGGAGCGACGCAGGTGTTATCATCGATACCGTTGACGATTGTTTCCTTTATATCGACTGGCACTTCAGCCAGCCGCCTCGTCTTTCCCATTTCCCATTTCCCACCCCCCAAACGGCTTTTCCTGCCGGCTGGGCGCATTGCTACGAAACGTGGCGACTTTTGCCAATTGAAACGCCGAGTAGATGTTGCTTTTTGCCATCGCTCCTTCGCTTTTTTGCGGCAATGTTTTGCTCCCGTTGCCTTTTTTAATTTGTCACTTGAATCAAAAGTTGCCAAAGTTGTCCCGGGCCGAAACTGTGTAGCTCTGGGTTTTGGTTGCACTCTGCGTTGTTAGCCCGGCTCGTTTCGCCGCTTCTTTGTTGCCACTTCCCTTTGGCAACTTTAATTAAAGCCGAGTGCCGGAATTGCAACATTAGGCAACTGGAGGGAGCTTTAACATTGTATTCGCAGCCAGTCTTTAACAAAGTTGCCTCTGAGGATGAAGTGCTACAGAATAAGCTAGCAACTAGACTTGGGATTTAATCTTTTGGGAATTTAAATTGAGAAAATCCTACATTAACAGCCAACTATGTATATCTGTGGTATGCCAGAAGTAAAACAATGCGAAAAGTCGCTACACCATCCACAGATTGTAAATTAACCTAAATCGCATGTAAGCCGTTTGTCATACAACATTCTGAGGACATATTAAAACGCTCCGAGAAGGACGAGTGACTCCGTACGGCAGCTTACATAAATATCTATATGATATATATGCGGATATGAATATTATAATCTCACCCCCTCGTTTTTTCCGCTCTTTACAGATGATGTGCTATTCTCGCGTCGCGGCCGCATGGGACGCATTGTGAGTCCGCGTCACACGCTTCCGCCGAATACGACATGCACGTACCACTTTCACGGATATCCTGGTGACCTGATTTGGTTATCGTTCACCAGCTACAATCTGCAGATCCTGCAGCAGGCGATACACGACAACAATACGCTGGGACGGGTGAGTTGAGTTGGGTTGGGTTGGGTTCTGTTCGGTTCGGTACGGTGCGGTTCGGTTGTGTAAGGCTGGCTTCAGTGACTTTGTTTCCACTATAAAATGTTTAACCGAACGACTATTGGGGGTGGTCATAATGCACTTGGAAAAACAATTGGATATTATTAACAGATTGTATTAACTATATATATGAGTTTCTAGATTTAATATATATATAGAAAGACACCTGAAAGATGCCTGATATCTAATAGTCCCAAAGAAAGGTCATCAGATAAGCTTATCGTAAAGCTAATCGATGTTCTGGTGTTAACTGTACTTTAAAAAATGATGACAGGAAGACTAAAAACCGGTCCTTAGAGAACACACAAAATTATAAAAAGAAATCTGTAGCGAGATATGATATATATCTCTGAATAAATTGAAAAGATATATAAAATATAAATCTTGCTCCCTTTTTTCCTCTGTGTAGCCGTTCAGCTGCTGTTATAGTTAACCGTTTACATAAATGCATAATGTGTATGCCGGGGAAAGGATAGAGGTGGTGGTGGGTGGAGCTGGATGGGTGGTTTGGGTGGCTTACACAGTTTGCCGCTTGCATTGTCCTTTAAATGCATTGCGTCTACGCCAGCGGCGTTGCCTCCACATTCCATTCATTGTCTTTGGAGCTCTCTCTCTATATCCCTCCTCGTGTATATCTCCATATCCCTTCTAGATGTTTTGCTATTAGTGCCAGTCGGTCGACACTTTGTCTCTGCTGGCCAATTAAAAATGCAGCCATAGAAATGCAACATATAAAATATATAATTAAGTGAAAGCTTACGCAACTCCTAACGAGACATTTTTGAGTCTGAAGTCTGCCCGCCGGCACAGCAACTGCGTCAAAATGCGACACTGGCAACGGCAACAAGCGGCCATAATAATAATGTCCTGCCCTCTCTCTTTCGCAACTCAGCCTTTTGTCTCTTTCTTATTTGCACAGTAAAACAAAGGCAATGGGATTTGTTGCTTTAAACTTTTTACTAGTGCTATAAAACTTTAAATGAAATGGTAAATCAAATTGTAAAAATACACAAACTGTATAAATATGGAATAATTTGTTATTATGGCAAATACCTTGCTCCCTTAATTTTAAATAAAAAGAATTCATTTCCGTATGATCCACTTTAAGTATAGATAGAATGGTCTAAAATTCGTTTTTAATATAATTTGAAATCAAGAAAATAATCATCTTTAACTTTTAAATATACTTGTAAAGAGAAGAAATAATTTTCTTTCCAAAATACTATTTATTAAATAGATAATGTAGGTAGAATTTTGCACAGTGTGCTCATCATAGTGGCGTGTGCATTTTAAATGTTCGTTGTCGCCTGCCTAACGGTCCGTGAATTGTGTCAAGGTAGAATGTTGAGTTCGCCTGGACCAGCGACGATAGCGCGTAATGTCGGGTCAGCGGGCGCCCCAAAGGATGAAGTGTCCTGTGTCCTACCTCCTTCCTTCCTACCCTCCTCCCTGCTCAGATAACTGAATGGTCATTTAGGCTAGGCGAGGCGAAAGTTCATTTGAGGCGGAGGTTGCAGGTTCTGCGACAAGCACCATGATTTATGTTAAGAAGCGGTGATTTATGCCCAAGATATGGACGGAATAAATCAGCAATGGAAGTTAATAGAAAGGGAAACAATAGCGAGAATGAGTTTACTTTATTATTCACATCTATATTTTGTTGTATTAATATTTCTGAAGGAAATATTTAAAGCTCGGAACAAGGGAAATATTGTTATGATGTGTAATAATTGAAGAACTGCTTAAACTCTATGAACTCTTTTGTATGATTTTCTTATAGATATTTATGTTTTCCCGATCTCATGGAGGGATTACGGCACTCATTTTTTGTTATATTTATCAGAATCTCTTAGCGATTAAGGAAATCTAGAGTGTTCCCGAGGGACAAAAATTTGTTACAATTATTATTTGTATTTGAAATATGTTCGATTTAAAAAGGGTTACAGAAGATATAGTTCATATTCCAATATATGATATAATATATGATATAGGAAGTAGTGAGTTACGCTCACATGGAACTCACTCCAAAATAAGGACAAGTAAGATAAATCGCCATTACCATATCGGGATAAACATAAATATTGAAATATCATTATTCGTGCTGAACAAAATCAAATGCTTAGGATACGTTCCAATGATATTTTTGATAATTTTCTCATCCGTGCAATGGCAGGTAAACAAATCCTACCTGCACTTCAATTCTACCAATAGTTTCTATCCAAAGATGTTTCCCCTTTTCAAATTTTCCTTAATTTTAAGTCTGTCCTGCAAAATAAAAAGGTGACTTTAAAGTGACAAGTCGCTAAGTTCAAACTCTTGTCGAGTTCTAAAGCTGCTGGTCCAAGTGCTTGAAACTTGTCAACAATTCCAGCATTTACGGCATGGCCCAAAGATCATAGAGCACAAACAGGGGCTGGATATAATGGGAGGTGATATGGAACGATTCGGCGGGGGACATGTCAACGCTTGGCGTGGTCTCATAAATGTCGTCGCATTACAAGTATTTCCAACAATTCCCTTCCCAGCCACACTCCAATCTATCCCGCACCCTGCATTGTTGATATTTTCGTTCGTTTTGTCGGCGAGTTTTAACTTTGCTTCTTAATTTAAAAAGTTTGCTTTGCCCCGCTTTCTGTTGTGTGTGTGTATGTTTGTGTTTGTTTTTATATTTTTCATTCGGTTCTTTTTCATTTTAGAAAATTCGCATTCACTTGCTTGTGAGCTTGTTGTTGTCCCCCTCTCAAACTCCTCCGAAAAATGGCATCGCCCACGTTCCAATGACTTCAGTTCAGCTTCCCCCAGTACCAGTACCTGCTGCTGCTGTTGTTTTTGTCACTTTTCCCTGGCTGTTACAAAATTCATGAACTGTTTTTGCCGTTTTCCACTCTCGTCCACCCACCGGAGTCGCCCGTTTTGTGTTTTATTTTACACATATTTTTGTTCTGTCACTTTTTATTGTACTCCCGTTTGTAGTCGCTAAAGAGTGGGAAGTATGGACGTTCTACAGTGAGAAAATAGGAAAAGGATGTGTGTCCTTGTAGCGAAAATACCTGTATAGACAAGCTGCTGCACGTGTCCTTTGACAAACGATCTGTGCGCGATCATCCATTTAAGTTCGGGGTTGATTTATGTGAAATAAAATGAACAAATAAGTAACAATAATATGAAAATATATATATAAAATACTAAAAATAATAATCTATTATAAATTCAGTGTTTAAAACCCATTTAAATGTATCCAAAAATAAGCAATGAAACTCTGCTTAAATGTGATTTGTATGATTTTATAATTTTAACACCTCTTACATTCCTTCAAAACCATTGAGTGCTTTCTAGGGCACCCAATTTATAAGGTATACAAAATTAAATATTATAAAGAAATATATATTCAGCTTCAAATGAGGGAAATCCACTTTTATAAGATTTCTTCTCAGTGCAGAGAATGGCTGAATGGGCGGTGGGTGTGCGTGTGTACAGTAGGTGTTACTGCAAAGTTGTTTTGCTTTATTTCGCTCGCTGCCCCTCGCCGTATTTTTTGTTGTTTCAGTTTCAGTTCTCGTTTTTTGTTTATTTGTGTGTGCTGCTGGCAGCTTTTCATTTTTAGCAATTTAAAGTGGAGGTGAGGCAACTGCAATTGACACGGACAGAGGGAGCATCCTGCGCGGGGCGTAGCCCCGAAACGGAAGAGACAATTGTGTGGGTGTTGGCTGAGAGTTCAGTCACCATTTATCTGCTCCCGTTTTTATTTATTTATTCTTTTTCTTTTTACCACAATGGGGTTACCAAATTAATTGGCACCAAACATTTTACAAAGACTCGGGGAATGTGGCTACCAAAAATAAATTAGATGCCTCTGTTTCATTCGGAATTCACGTCTAGACGGAGAACGACCTTGAGTGCCTGAAAAGGCTGTTGGCAATTTATCTGATTAGGCGACAGGTGAAAAGATTCCACAGCCTTCGTCTTTTCATCCCGAGTCCTGCAGGAGATGTCCTGGGGAATGTGTGAAAGTAATCAAGGAGCAGCACGTGTGGTATGCCTTTATGTGTGGCCCTTATTGGTGTGGTCTGTGTTGTCTGTGGCATTTATTAAACTGAAAAGCAGCGAAAGTGATGAGGATCTCGGTATTTCAGGAATTTAATATTATGCACAGATGCCAAGCCATTTGAAGGTCATATTTGCAGGGTAAAGAAATGGTATTTATTAAACAAATTAATTAAAAATCAGACCCATGTCGATACATGTAAAAATAAAACATATCCCTCAAATATCCAGGTATTTTAGTATTTAAAATACAAATTACGTTTTATAACATTTCACTTGCTGTAGTTAAATTTCCTTACCAAATCGGACAAATTAAAAGGAGTAGGTAGCCGGGCTTAAATAGCTGTCAGTTAGTTTTCTGGGCCAACACTTCGAGCCAGACCCGGGAGTCTGTTACTTCAGTTCTTCTTCTGTCAAGCCACAGCTGTTTGCAACTGTCTTTTTCATTATTAACACAGTCAACAATAATCAGGGCCTAGGAATGGCGTAGAGCGAGTTGCGAGGGGAAAACATAAACATTGTCAGCCAAGGAGGCGTCTCGGAAAAATATTTAATGCCGGCAAACAACAACAAGGATACTCTCCGAAGAATGTAAAGACTGCAGGGGATGGGACAGGGGACGAGGGACAGGGGACAGGGGACGAGGGACAGTGACAAACGACAAATAACTCACACTTGGAACTGTTTGAATATGACATGTGACAAAGGACGGCAGAGGGGGGAACTAACAAAGGAGAAAGCAACCAACCAGCCAAAGGGAAAGCGTGAAAAACTCGAACAAAAAAAGAAGCATGTTCATGGAGTTACAAAAAATATATAAGTATATAAGTTCACTATGAAAATCACATAATGAATGTAATTTACCTTAAGATGTTTAAAAAAAATAGGATTAAGGTTTAAAATTCATATGCTTGTTCTTAAACAGCATACATTTTTAACTAATTATAACAAATATTATAATATAATCTGCTCCATTCCACCTGTGGAATTTGTATATACGATATTATTTATTTAAAAAGAAGCTAACTTCAAATCACATAAACATTTAAAGTATCTCCTCTACTACTGATGTATAATTTAACAGTGTTGTTTTTCCGAGTGCATACATAAAAATAATGTCAACAGTAGAATTAAACAATAACATGTGTTCGCCTTCTCCTTTCTCCTATTATTTCCCCCAGAGCGATCTGCCGCCGTGGATAACGCGCCTGAGGATGTGGGATAGCTATGGAACCTATGTGCCCATGAAATCGACAAGTTCAACCACCGGACAGCCACCCCCACCGCCGCCCGTGGCCTCCTCGGCGGACGGGGGCAAGCCCACGCTCCTGAATCAGAGCAACTACGGCAGCTACTACTACAGTGCCAGCAATCCGAAGCTGAATCGGAACCTGCGGGTGAACATTGACAACGCCTGGAATCCGGTGGACACCTACATCTATGGGCCCACGCAATCCAGTGTCTTTAATCAGGAGAACAAGTACAGTGGCTACCAAGGCGGAGGGCCGGGCGGGGCATCAGCAGGAGCAGGTGGCTCCGCCAAGCACTTGCCGGGCGTCAAGGACAGTCTCAACTTCATTGCCAGCGGCAAGTCCTCGAAGGAGGTCTCCGCTGCCGCTGTTCTCAGCTCGGATCGGAATAGTGCTCTGGCCCTGATGAGCACCAAGGGAAAGCGGCGACTTATGCTGGAGATCTACGACTATGAGACCCCAAAACTTTGTGACCACACGGCCATTGGAAGTGGTGTTAGTGGAAGTAGTGCCGTTATGGGTGGCAACAAGCAGAGGCCCTGCAGTCCATTGGAAAGCTACGTGAGCACTGGAAGGGATTTGGTGAGTTGTTTATAGAAATATTTATAGATTAAAGAATATTGAGGAGATATATTTTATATTTTTTGTTGGGATAATTTTTAAGGGATAACTAAACTAACTAGAAATACTAACGAAATAATAGTAAAATTCAATTATTGAAGTAATTAAACGACCTACAAATTTGTAATACGAGGTGCCTTTATTAATAACTAATAATAAGACACCTAAAATTCATTTCAAATTACTACTAACAAAGTTTTATAACTTTTCTTTGCGAAAAACTTTACTTAAAGTTTATCTTTTTAACTAAAAACCAATGGAATTATTGAAATTTTGATCTACATGAAGAATTTGGAGCTTAAATAGCGTTTGTAATTATTAAAATCGTTGTTAATTGTAAATGGGTCTACAAAAATGATTTCAAAAACGCGGAATGCATTTAAGCTTATAGTTTTTTTAAATGTAGTTATTACAGAAAGACTTTTTATTGGATAGTTTTAAACCTATAGTTTTATAATGGGTCACAGCTCTTAGGATATCGTAAATTTACATGCCTTGCTGTTCAAATATCGTAAACTCTTCTTAGTCCCGCCGAAAAGCAGGCAACAGCCCTTTGCCCAGCAGCGCGATGCCAATCAAAACTGTTGCCTACCTTCAGGCTGCTCTTAGTATCCAAACGATATAAACGAAAATAAGAACTTAACCGAAGGACTTTTCTAATTTGTCAGCTGCCGCTGTGTTTGTTTGTTCGCTTTTGCGCGTTTGGCTTAAAAAAATAAGAATGAAGAAATAAGCAAAGCAAAGCGACTTTGTGACTGCACCTTGGCTGCCGGCGAGTAACGAATGCCGAGTGCCCAATTTGGCACGCCCAAGGGCTCTCACAACAAATAGAACGCAACCGGAGTTCTGGATCCTGGGAACCGGGGAGCCTGGCAGCTCCTGGGCTCCTGGGCACTGGAATTTTTTTTTTTTTTTTGGCAGAGTGCAGAACGTTTCGTGTTTACTTTAAACTTGACAAAATTAATCAAATTAAACACTCGACTGCATCGCCAGACGTGCACAAATAACGAAGGAGCGAAGCGAATTTCCCAGAGGCGAGCGCCAAATTCAAATTCGCCAAAGCACTGAACACACACACACACCCATCAGCACACAAAGGCAAATACGGGGGCGCCGCCAGGGGGGTGGCAGTGGGGTGGCAATGGGGAGGGGGGATCCGTGGGCGGCATTGGCGGCATCCACGGACAAACAGACAACCGCAATAAGCTTGCTTAGCCTTTTTGACGTCGCTCGTCGTTGACAAATATGAACTGCAAATATTGTGATGCCAAATTGAAGCCTCCGCGCATTGTGCAAAGATACACCTAAAAAAAAAAAATAATAAAGTTACATTGCTTACAATAAGAGATATTTTTACGAAACATTCTATTGTTTATATCGTTTTAGAGATACTTGTGCAAAATTAAGTTTCTTTTTGTGTAAGTCATATTAAGTTAACTTTTTAAAGGCATTTCCTAAGATGTGGTTCTTATTTAATAATTTATTAGTAAAAGGAAAACATAATTTAAAAAAATTGAATTTTACAAAATCAAAATCATGGTAACAACCTTTGAAACTAAAGAAATATTATATAGGAGAGAGACTGGATAATTTATTTAGTTAGTCTCTGCCAATAACATTTCATTGGTTTCTCAATATTTAGTTTGACTTAACAGTCTGATATCCTTACATAAAATAAATATTTTTTTCTAAAATATAAAGCACAATGTTGACAGTAATGCCTAGAAAGGAAAACTTTAACCTGCCTAAAATATAACAAAAAACCCCAGGATATAGTATACATATTGCCCTACAAATATTTAAGGTCCTTTTTAGCATTATTTACTTATTTCAATACATAGCATTAAAGCCTAACATTCATATTATCTCTCACAGGCTTACAAAAGTAAATGTTTAGAATTTTATTTATATTATTATATATAATCTCTCTCAGAAACCTCTTTCAGTGTAGATCATTTCTCATAATACCCTTTCTTTTGCAGAAACTGGAGTTCCACACGCATACGGGCACCGCTTTGTTCCCGGCCCAGTTTGCCCTCAACTACGAGTTTGTGGACACGGAGCAGGGCGGGGAGACCTGGACGGGAAGGCGTGGCGAGGACCCTGTGCCGCCGCTCTGCTCCAGAGTTTTCCGGAAGCGCAAGGGCAACATCCAAGTGCCGAGGAATGTGTTCCTTTACGGGAGAGGCGGTGCCAAAAATATAACCTGCTTGTATCGCTTCGAGGCGGGTCCTTCGGAGAGGGTTAAGCTGGTCCTACACAATGTCTCCTTCGGGGAGGGTACGGCCTGCACCACGGACTCGGATTTGCATACAGGCCGACCTCGCTGCAACCAACTGGATCCGGAGGGTCGAATCACAGAGCTGCGACTGTTCGATGTCCCTTTCAGGGATGTGAAAATCCAGCTGGGCTGCTTCTGCGATAACTCCAGTGCTCTGTACAGCAATGCACCGCTGACCTTTGTCTCCCACTCCAGGATAATGGAGCTCTCCTTTACGGTCACGCGGTTAAATATCTCCGAGGACTTTGCGGACGTTTTCTTCTCGGCTTCGTACGAGTTTAAGCGGCAGCCGGACTGCAGAAAGCAGTTGAAGCTGAAGGGCGCCGGAGGAGAGGACGATCTGAAGTATCCGCTCAAGACTCAGGATGCCAGCTGCGAGGGCTTAGCCTGGTACATTGAGGCCCAGTCCGCAGAAAGATCACTGTTTGTGCAAACCTGGGGAGCCTATTTGCCGGTGGATCCCACCTCTGAGGATGCCATGAGATGTCACACCAAGAACCGACTGATGATATATTCAGGACGACCACTGCGACCCATGAGGGTTGTATGTCCTGCGCAGAGTGGGCCCAGGCCAATGTCCTTGCATATATTCTCAGAGGACTGGACCAATGGACAGCCCTTGTTTATGAACAAGTAAGTTTATAAATACTATATATATATAAATATGTTCTTGAAGGAGGTCGGTGAGGATTGTTTGAAGAAAGACTTTTTGACTTGGACTTAAATATCTTGTTTAAGTTCATTGGATAACCTTGATGTAATAACCTCTTATAGTTCATTTTTGCATAGTTCTTTTTTCTCATAAATAAATTAATAAAAGTAACTTTTTGGTCAGATTCTAAATTGAAACAAATTGACCTTATATCTGACAGTAAGAATAGTCTCTGAGTTCGCCCACCTTTAGCCAACTTGCCCGTCCAATTACCCGATCCCACTCCCAAAGGCCAAACATCTATGAAATAGGAAATGAAAGAAACACGAGAGACTGGAAAACATTCATGCCGTTCCATTATCGAGTGCATGTGAGGCAAGTACACTCGAGCAACTACTGAACACTACACAGAAAGCCTCTTAGCTTTTTACCCAAAATTAATTGCATTTTAATAGTTGCTAATATTTCAAAGAAAAAACAAAATGTTGTGCACTAAATGCACTGCTACCAGTTATTTTGAGCCCGGAGAGGAACCTCTCCCCTGAGCTCCATCAAAGAGTTCTGCTTAAAAATGCAATAACAGGAAATGGCTACGACGGCAACAAAATACAGGAAATTGAGCGCAAAGAAATATGCTATATACGAGGGGAAAAATAAAGAGGAAAACGTAAAACGTAAAAGAGACGAAGTCCAGGCAAACAAACATGGCCGTCAGACATGAACACATGAGCACACTTGCGGAAAAGTGAATAGGAGCGCTAGAATAAAAATAAAATAAGCAATAAAATGGGGTGTGGTTTCAATGCTATTTAAAAATTTTTGGACTATAATTTAAATGATTAAATATTTATAGCAATCACTAAAGATAAAAAATCTTCAAGAAAATAACAATAAAAAAATATACTTCAAGAAATGTTCTATGCATATTTGTAAGGGGCATTTTAAATGCCCCAGATGTTTATGAGACACACTAGAAAATTTATATTATTTTAACTGAATCATTTACTAGAATTCTTATGCATAAACGCAAACATTTGATACTGTTACTTATAGAAGATATATTTAATCATATTCCGTACAACTTTTAATTCTGATTAAAGCCCAGCTACTGGAGTTATATTAGCCCCTCACTCTTAGAAAACTACCATCTTAAACATTAAAATAAATAATTAATTCAAACTCGAATCTAATTTGACTCAATAAATTGAACTTATTCATTTAAGCTATCACAAAATAATCGGTTTAAAATGTTTAAGCTTATGAAGACAAATCAAATCCTCTAGTTCTTTAAAATTCAATTTCTTATAAATTCTTTCTTAGATACTATAACTTCATCCTCTGCTGTTTGGTCACCTACAAATATGCAAAACGAACATGGGGCAAAGACAGGTGAAACATGTGGCAGGGGGGTTAGGTGGGCTGAATACGGGTAAGGGAACTTGGCCGTATGTGCTCTGGCAATTTATGTCCAAGGTGCGTGCCACCGAAATGAACTGTTGAACCTGGAACGCCGGACTCCTTTCTTGGGGAAAACTCCGGTCAGCTTACCAACCTTGTGTCCGTTTTCCAGCGCCTGCATTTAACGTGTCGCCATTAAATTTTATGGTCAACTTTTTCTCCTTTTTTCCCCATGTTTGCATTTTGCTCAATTTTGTCGCCGCAGAACATAAAAAAGAAAAGGGAGGATGTATGTGAAGTCACAGGGAAAAGGGAAGAACGAGAATATTGCATTGTGGAGGACGACATGTGAAAACATATTTTTATGGGACCCCAAAGGGTAATTGGACATTGCACTGGATATCCGTGCAGCCTAATGAGTGTGTTGAGCCTTTTTAGATAATTAATTGCGAGCTTTTCAACTCAGTTGTGAATTAAAATGACCGCACACTAAACCCATAGAATGTGTCGAAAGAGTGTGTAAGTGAACTGGGATACATTAGTAAATGTTGCATTGCCAAGTTATGATGCATAAGAAATCGTAAGTTCAATGAACTAATGGGTTATAGTTTATAATAATAATAAAAAAATATAATATATAGTATAGGGAGATAAACGAACTATACTTTCAATTCCTTTCAACGAATCCAATTGCCTTAGAAATCCTATTACCAAACTGTGATGGCTAACTCGCTTAAGGCGCGACTTAAGTCAACTCTGAATAAGATATTTTGTCTATAGAAGCTAGAAAGTTGCGCGTAATTAGTTGCAGTTGAGCAACTACTAGTCTGGGGCGACACCAGAATGGGGAAAAGGATAGGAGAAGCCAGATCCAATCCTCGAGCCCACCCATTCCATTGGCAAAAAAGTTGCCACAAAAGTTATGTAGAGCATGACAGACGCGCCGAAATTAAAGGGGCTAGGGGAAGGCCTTATCCCCTTTTGAAAATATTTACGACATGGCCGACTTCTAGTGCTCTTGGTGCACTGAAAATAATATAAGAATAAAATGAAATGTAAGAAAAATATGTTATATATTTTATATAAAGTAAATAATAAATATTGATATATTCTAAAGTCTTATTAGGGAAACTAAACTTTTTTTTAACATTTCTCATACCATCTCGTATTTCCTTTCAGACCCATCAGCCTGGTGCTGGAACCCATCCTCAAGGAGCCGGGCGACATAGCCTTTACGTGGCTAGAGATCCATCGCACCAAGAACGCCCTGCTGCAGCAGCTGGACCTGCATGTGAATGCGAGCGTTACCACGGGCTTGGGCGGTGGCAGCCAGACCTCCTCCCAATCCTCCTCGTCCAGCTCCAATACGGGAATTGGCGGACTGGGCGGCACCAGTGGTGGCGCAGGATCCCCCAATACCGGGGGAGCAGGAGGCTCTGGAGGCAGCGCGACGGCCAACGAGACACTGAACGAGTTCGGTTTCTTTCCCAAGGAGTCGGACTGCGAATACAAATGTCCTGAAATTGATGCATGCATTGCGGCCAGCCTGTGGTGTGATGGTAAGTAAAGGATGTGATTTTTGGGGCCAAGTGGGATTTTTTATAGATGATTGCTGGAAGGATAATTTAAATAGCAATGAAAGAATCTTTCTTATTTATCATATTTGATATACTGATATATTTGAGAACATTTGTATTATTTAAATCAAAACAAGATAATACACATTCGACAAAATGAAATATTAATAAAGGGTTAAGACAGGCTGATTTGTGAAGTAACCAAAAAAGTCCTTGATACTTTTAGGCAGTATTTTTGCATTCTTTGTTCGTGATTTGGCGGTCGTCCTTCGACTTTGGTCCTTTGGAGAGCGTACGTCCGGCGCAAGGCAACCGAAATTTCACTTGTGGCTGGCTTGTCTGTTAATTTCGTTGCAAGCTGTCCACGTTTTTGTAATCAGGCAAAGTTTCCTGACAACTGCACACAGCCTGCAATAGTCCTGCTGGTTGCTAGTCGCCTCCGTTGTCGTAGTCCGTGGTTGTTGGTTGCCGGCGGTTGCTGGCCGACTCGTGGGATGGCCGCTTGTTGGACAAACCCGCAGCAGCAAAACCCCAAAATGTCTTGTGCAAAAAGTTTGTCCCAGTCCAGCACAGGCCCAGCCCCAGCCAAATGGCCGCAACAGCTGTGCCAAACTTATTTGCGATGCACTTGAGAGATGAAGAGCAGGGCATAAAACAGGGATCATTATAAACAGTATTATAGTCTGAAATACCCTCTTGGTGAAAATAGATGCAAAAATTATAATATATTCCTAGTTCTCTTAGCAATTGAAAAGGGTTATATAGTATTTTTACAATTCTGATTACCTAACAAAAAGTAGTTTAAATAGTAATATTTAGATACACACTATGTAGATACAATTTTAATATAACTAGGAATTCTCTTAGGTTAGGGAATCAGGTACTTAACCGAAAGTCCCCTATGCACTCTTTAAACTTTACTATGCTTTCTCGAGTAAAAAATATATAAGGCTGCTGGCCTGGACTTTGCCTTTTTAGCTTCAATTATTTATGGGCAGCCAGGCGCGTCTGCATCTGGAGCTGGTTAACCGCAAAAGCCAGGGCATTAAACAAGCTTTCGGACCCCACGGGCCACTCAAGTGACACTGCATTCAATTTGTAACCTTAGAGTAGGCCACCCAGAAGCTCTGCAGTCTCCCCGAGACCCCAATCTACTTTCAATTTTTCAATCAGCGCTCTGCTCTGCCTCTATCTCGGTAGCTAAATCTATTTTTGCAGAGGGAGAAATAAAGTACAGACCTTTTGGTTAATAGTCATTTTTGGCTTGAAGTAGAAAGGGTATATAATGAATAAGATGAATAAGAAATAAGAACATTTTACTTGTCATTTGCATGAAAATGAGAATAGCTTGCTTTATAGATAAATTACTCTTTGGCTTTTCAAGGCAATTGCTTAGAAAGCCTTTTATAAGACTGAAACATTCTAAAAATCTGTATGGCGTTATGAATCTTCTACCTAATATTGTCTTTGATTGAGCCACATTATGTATATTTACTTAAATACGCGTTACTGCATTGACTCTTTAACCAAATTTCCAGGGAACTTGAATCTCAAAAAAATCATATAGCGCTATGCATCTTATACATACTATTGTTAAATATCATAAATATTCTAGAATAAGAAGAGTAATCAATTCTCCCTTTATAAACAAAGTTGGAAAAGCAATTTCCCATCCCAGCTTTGTCACAATTTTAAATGAGGTGTGTCCAAGTTTCTCTTATAATACTTAAGTTTAGAACATCCTTTCTCTCACTGCATCCTTGTACTCCTCGCTTACAGGTCATCACAACTGCCCCAGCGGATTCGACGAATCGGAGGAGGAGTGCGGCACCGCTCGCAAGCTGCTGGAGTTGCCGGGCGGCGTGTTCGCCGCTCTGGGCTGCATCGCGGCCGCCCTGACCGCCTGCCTGATATTCTGCATGTTCGGCCTGATGAGGAAGCGGAAAAAGTCGGTGGTGCAGAAGGGCGGCGGAGTGGGCGGCGTCGGGGGCGTTGGCGGCATGGGCGTGGGCATCGGCTTCATGAATGGGGCAAGCAATGGCAACGTGTCCGCCGCCAGCATCGGCACACTGAAGAAGGACTTCAAGAAGGAGGCACTGTACATCGATCCGGCCTCCTGACACGGGCTCCAGCCGGTCGAGTATATCCACGTGGACCGCGAGACCACCGTGTGATATGTTGCCGCCGGCTGTGGCATCACCTATGATCATGTGGAGCTTTGCATGGAGCAGGCCTGACCGTTCAAAATCTGGCCTGGGGATTTTAAAGATACAGCGTTAACGCCTGAAGGTATGAGGACACTAAAAGAACCTACATTTTAAGTCGATAACTTTTTCTAAACGCTTCTGGGAGTCAAACAAATTAGGAATGAGCGCGAAAGTGTGTGTGTTCAGTGGAATGTTTATAGATATGAGCCTTCAAATAGGTTTTCCTGGGTTTCCTGATCAATTTTTTATTCCCTAGCTAGTCTGTATACATATATTTTTATTCGATCAGTTACAAAGAAGTCAGGACTTCTTAATTCCATAAATCATTTAAATTTTTATTGAAATCCCTGCAGACACTGCCTTACTTCTTTTAACACCACATTGAACCTTTATTTTATCTTTAAAATTAAAACATTAAATTACAATTCTAGGCATGCATAGAAACTGTCACATTTTTAACATTTACCCAGTCTTGACTTCTACATTATTTATAAATTATTATTCTCATTACTCCTTTCATTAAGACTACACACAGGAAAGCAAACAGAACATTGCAGAGAAAACTATTGTAAATTAGGTACCTTTAATACAGTTATAGATCAGCTAGAGAGCAAGAAAAATTCGTGGTCAGTACGTAGATGCCTTTGGCATATTTTCCACATAGCACATAGCACCCATTAAAAGGAAGGTAAACAAATTACATTTAGCAACTAAATGAAAAAGATCATAAACTACAATGAAATTGTATAGAGAGAGTAACTCAGTAAAAAAAGCAAAGCAGATCCCTCTTCGGGGGGCCCTCTGGCATTATCTCTAAGTGATTAGACTAAGTATGAAAACTGTTAGCAGCATTTGAATGTGAGTTGAGCGGGAGAGTTGAGGAAAATCTCTACAGTGTTGTGATCTAAGGCATGCACATACTGAACTAAGTTTAAACACAAGCAAGTCGAAGCATTTACATGATTAACACTCGGTATGGAATATATGTATACATACTTTGGTTTAGTCATTAGCTAGTATATAGTCAATAAATATTGCAGCACTCTTGGGTTTTTTATCGTACAGCACAGACACAGCCGAGAGCATCACTTAGTGGTTTATTACATTCAAACAAATCGAAGCGACAAATTTAGAAATGCAATTGTTATTAATGGTTAAGTAGAAACCCGAAACAGAGATATGTTCACGCTTTATCTCGACCGAGAGAACTGCCAAAAGAATTTTAAAGCTAAAGGAACAATCATATGTACATATTTTTGTCAAGCAATTACTTTGCATTTGAGTTCGTAAATTGAACACAATTGTTTCCCATAATTAGCTGCAGTAAATAATATTCCTAACGTTACATGGACTTTGTAAAAAAAAGGAAACTACAAGCAAAACATAATATTGAAGTGTACTCTACCATTTAAGCCATGTCCCACAACCCATATAAACAATCAAACTTTTGGCAGTTGCTAGGATTAAGCAAACACCAAACCAAAGTTAAGCGAATAAACAAGACATAAGTACTTTATTTTATAGACGCTAAACTAGGAACAAAATTATGAGAATGAAAATGATACAGAATATAATAACGAGGAATAATAAAACTGCCTGCAATGCGAATTTTAAAAATTTAAAAACCTCTGACATATGCAGACAGAATCCACATCTATAAAAACCCATTAAAATTTCAACTTCAATCAAGTTTTACTGAAAAGCACGTGTATAAATAAATATATATATATATCTGATTTAGTCGCCATGGAAGGGTAAAAAAAAGAAAAGGAATACATAAATTAAATCAAATATTTCATTTGGCATTTTTTGATAGCAAATAACCTAAATATTTATAGCCAAAAAAGGAAAGAAACAAGAACCACGCGCACTTTGTACAATTTGATGAAAAACAAAGAATTATTATTATTTCCAGACACACCGGCAAGCAGCAGCATATACATATGGGATATTTTACACGCATCCACATAAGCGATAAAATAATACTGAAAAAGCCACACATATAAAAAAAACGAATACAAATTAAATTAATTAAAATTGGCGCGTAGGCCAGGAAAATGCATTTTAGCTGCCGGCAAATATAGTGAAAGAACACGGTTGGCAGTGCATTTAAATAAGTAGCTTTAAGACCAGCTGGAGCTGGATACTACTTCGTTGGCCATTACTGTCACACCACACACACCACACACACATTACACACACATCTCAATCGCCAGTTCGGTTCAGTTCCTTCTCTCAAAACCAAACCAAACTATGGAAATTTCTGTGCCAACTGTGTTTAAAGTAGTATTCGAAGATAAAATTCGAATAAACGGAACGAACAATGAGAGCGAAGGGAGAAATTGAATTATTACCGCGCATAAAACATTGCATGTAATTTATTTGAAATGTTCGAAAATAAATAACCCAAAAATAAAGAGAAAAGAGAGGAAAACCGTGCGCGAGATGGTAAATAATAATAAAATACAGACAGCTGTGTAAATAGTCAAACTGCGTACAGTCAACACATATTAAATTCAAGACAGAGACGAAGCCGAAATCTAATGGAGATCAGTTTTGGGTTCCTTCAGTTTTGCCCCCCTTAAATAAGTTTCACTTGTATGATAAATAAAACTAAACAAAATATTTATATAGAGATATTATTATACGTATATGGACAAGGAAATCCCTAACCTTAATGACGCACTGAATCAAATAGATGAAACGAGTATTTAATAAAAAAAACCAAGACAATTAAAACCAAAAACAGAACTTTAAGACAAAATAAAAGTGGAAGAAAAAGAATTCAATTTATCCTGTGACACCTGTCTTTATTTGGGGGGTTTGAAGGATTTTGGGTGGATGCTGGATTCCGTGCGACATCTGGGAGAAGGGGAAACCGTTGGCCAAACTAAGGCTAACTGAAAATCGTGCCCAAATAGCTGGCAGTCAAGTAGGCCACAGATTTTGATTGCCCGCATCCGGGCGGCCATCGGTGGACATCCTCGGAAATTCGGGCCATCGAACGAGATGGTGTTAAAGCCAAGCCGGCTGCTCCAGGCGTGTGTTCTCACCGGTTTGGGATTGGGATTGGATTTGGGTTTGGGTTTCGGTTTTTGGACTGGGCTTTGCCTCCGCCGACGCGACGTCCTTCGTTAACCCGCATAAAACATAAGCCACGGAACCCCGTGTTGTGTGCTCTGAATACCCCAATGGCCACCTGCACTCCTGAAAACCTACCGTCCTGTGACTCTGTGTTTATGGCCGGCAGCTCTGTTTCTGTTTCTGGCCCGGGCACTGGACCTGGCCCTGGACCTGGCCCAATCCCTGGCCCTGGACCTGGCCTCCACTACCTCTGCAATTGGCGAAAATGGCTTTGATAAGCGTGGGCGGCAGAAAGCCTGGAAAATTCCCACGAGGTGCGGTTAGGGAGTTATGTTGACATATGATTAATTTGTTTACCAGAAAATCGAATTTTATTTATTTCTCAATTCAACTAAAAATAGAAAGAATTTATAGTTATAGAAGTTTTATTAATCAATCAATATTCAAGAAAATTATACAAAAATGTGTAGTTTTTTTTACAGTCCCTTAAAATCTATTTTGAATACTAGCGGACCTTTTATTAGCTCTACTGAAGAAACTATTAACTAAAGAATAAAGTGATCAACAAAACCAATGGAATTCAGTTTTTTTCTTTTTGGATATAGCACTTTTAGTTGAAGTTTTATATGGAAAAAGCATTTTGCAAAGTTGATTCGTGAAGTACAAGACCATACTATGGCAATGCAATGCATAAATTATTGGTTAACAAACCACTTTGGATAAAAGTTTATATTTTTTATTAGGCTATCACCATCTAAAAATAAGTATTTATTTAATGCCAAGAAATTGTATTATATATGGGGTTCATAATTTTTTTATTTAGCAGTAAAGTCCAAAAGTGTAAAGTGTAAAATCTACAATAGTAGTTAAACAAATCTTCTATGCCTTCAGAAAACCAACTACTTGAGAGACCCTCGTTACATGTAGTAAAACCTCACGCACACAAACGAGTTAATGTATACGCACACCTGCCACAAGCACACACACACACACACACAGTCACACACAGATCCGCATATTTATATTCGCACCTAGGGCCAATTGCAGTTGTTTACAATTGAGTGGCCAGCTCAGCACAATTGTCCCGCCTGACAGCAACGACAACTACACCGAGAGTACCAACAAATGGCACAACAAGAATCAGGCAATCGGCAGCAGAAAAAACAATAACATCGGGCCAGAGATATAGCCAAGATATAGGAGTGGACAGCTGATAAACTGAATCAGCTTTCGAGTTTTGAAACCGGGCGAAAGAGTCCCATCATTTCGATGTCCCATCCATCTCAATCGATTTAGAAACTCATCGATGCAATCCCCCGCAACTTGAAAAGTCTTCCAGCTGAAGTTATGTTTTCTGCAACTCACTACTATATCTTTCACATATGTACATATGTATGCTTTCTTATGGCTAATTACTGAAATGCTGTCAATTACAACCATCTGCACTTTGGGACATGTGCCGCCAACGACATTTTCGTTTCAGCTACATTATCATATATTGTCTGAATAAATTGTGGACGTCAGCACTTTTCAGTTTTTTGCCTTTGTTATCGAGAAATTTACACGAATTTTCAGCTTGTTGCTGAAATAAAAAAAAAATATAGTAAATATAAACAGTCAGTTTTTTTGCCAGTCCAGAATATGTGAACCTATGCAGATAGTTGTGGGTAAAACGCTTAACTCTGACAGCCGACAGACGCCAGTCGGTGGACATTTAAGCCACAGTGAGCCAAAGAAGTAAGTAAACAATAAAAGCCAATCAAGGAAACAATTGTTTTTAACTTTAGGCCTATGATTACATTTTAAAAAGGTTGTTATTCTTTTATTGGTAACAGATATATTTGTCGAAAAATAAATCGGTATTCTACACTTCTGTCCTTTATATAAACAATAAAGAATAACAAAGTGGTGTTAACCACACAAAATGGACTGAACTGAAAATAGATTAATATTAGATTATTAATTTTCTCAGTTAGCTGTTTTTGACCAAGTCCTGAGGGATTTTACGAGTTAAAGTCCCTGTTAAAATTTATTAAAATAGATTTTAACTGTCCATGGCATATTGAACTTAACTTTGAACTTTATATTAAAATTAAAGACATTTCTTTTGTTATTAAAATTACCGCATAGATACATATATCGAACTTTTAAAAAGGTTAAAAAATACAGTTTTTCGTAATACATTTTAGGATTTTAGATCAATATTATTAGTAATTAAAGAATTTCAATAATTATATATTTAATAATTAAAAGACTTTCTTTTATTTTGAATAAAAACTTATTTCATGGCATATTAAGATACAATATCTTTAAAATTGTACTCAGAAAGGTGAGTGGGTTTTTTCCTTAATTAAATTTTAACCTGTTTCCAATAAATAACATTTTATTACATATATTAAGTAACGTTTTCTAATTTAAACTTGAACGAATTCTTAAATATTTAATTTAAATTGTTCACAAGGAAACTCATTTATATTTACTGTAACACAATTATTAGCTTTATGTGGCCGAAAAACTTGCGTTACCCACTGTGCCTCAAGTGTCTTCAATCGAATAAAGGTCAATGCGCTCTGTGGACAGCAAGTGCGGAGGCACATGGAACCGAACAGCCATAGAAATTCATAAAATTGACTCCGCCAAAATTATACAAATCTCTAAGCCTGGCCAGCGAGCGATGCCGAGAAGAATCTTATATTTATGCACGACTGGCAAAAACAAATCGGTGGAAATTACAAAAGCGGGAAGGTCAGCTTTTCGACTGGCCATTAGGGAGTGGGGTAAGTTCAAAGGTAAACCTGTTTCTTATTCTAATTCCCTTGTCTAAAAAACGAAATTAGCTGAAGCAATCTTCTGGTCTTGGGTTTCTTGTTTTTTGCCAACGTGGTCTCCAACCCACGACTCTTGACTTTCTGGTTAAAGAATCCATTATAGGGTCGCTTGGCCAACTGTTTCAATAAAGGATATTTGGACAAGTGGCCAAAATTAGATTCCTGGCCGAAAGAACAGAGCTGTTTGAGCGACCTAAATAAATATGTCTAAGTAGATTAATGTCAGATGCGGGTAATAATAAAAATGTTTCCACAGACAAATGGGCTACAGTCACGTCCATAACTATACCGCCAGCGGCCGCACAAAGAGCGGCGAAGAGAGCGAGCAAACAGAGTCGAAGAGAGCGCGATCGTGAGTGCTGAAGAAAATGGTAAAAGCAAACAGGCAACGAAACGCAAGCCGCCGCTGTCGACGTCTTAAAGTTGGCCAAAAAGGCGGCCAAGTGCCCCAAGGAACATTCAGTCAAGCCGCGATCGCTGAGCGCTACGGACGTCTATAGCTCGCCACAACTCGTATCGGGGCTAGAAGTGAGAAAAGTGCTGACCGGGAAATTCTTTTGGCCAAGAAAGGTCTCCGGAAAAGATCTCAAGCGTTTGTGTTTTTTGTGTAACTCCCCTCTGGATGTCTCTGAACGCCGAACGTTCGTACAAAATGAAACTGCGCGATGTGGAAAATGCCTTCAAGTATCGGCGCATACCGTACCCCAAGCGGTAAGTGTGATTCCCCCCGAAAGAGATTTCATTTCTTTTCACCCGAGAACGGGGCTCAAAGTCTCGAGGAGGAAATGCAATCGAGTTCCAGTTTCAGTTTAATTGAAAACCGGTCATAATTGCTTATGGACCGGCCTGAGAACCAAGCTTGCAGACCGAGAAGTGCGTTTGGTCCATCGGCGGAAGATTACAAGAAAAAAAAAGACTTTGCTCTCGATTCTCCATCGAAGGCATTTAACTTTCCGTTTTTCGCAGCTGGCTAAAAGTGAAAGACATTTCAGGGTCGTCGCATTTGATAAATATAATTAAATACAAACTTCAATTGCTAGCAAAATCAGTTCAAACATTTATGCCGGACTTTAAGTACTTGCCAGCAAGTGAATTAATTGCAGCGCATTCTAAACACTGAGAAAATTTGAAAATTTATTTAGTCTATCTGAAAATGGTAACACATAAAACTGAGAATTTAATTTTTAATTTAAAGTAAATTAAATTTTGTTGAAAGCTTAGAAATGGTAAGGAATATAGATTAAGACAAAAGTATTAGAAGGACTTCTTGCAGAGATGATCTAGATTGGATTTAATTGAATCAAACTTCTGTACAAGGACTCATGGATTACTTTTAACACAATCTATACATCAAAACAATTTCTTATTATTGATATTTCTCTCTGTGGAGTTAGTTTATTTTTTATTCATTCTTGATCTAGTTAAAATGCTTCAACTTTTTTGCTTTTTTCATTCAATTCTTCTCATAATTCATTTGGTGTAGCACCTCGGGGCCAGCTTTACAGAGATGAAAAGAGGGAAAACCGCAAAAGCCAAACTCAACATCAACTATTTCAAGTAGCCAAAAGAGCCATGTCTTGCCTGCTTCCCCCACGCTGGCTGCATTGTCTTGGCCAACATTTTTCAGTGTTTATTCTGGCCTTTTACAGAACCCAGCTCCAGTTCAGTTCGGTTCAGTCAAGAGTTAAGAGCCCGCTGACTTGACTGCCCGCTCATTAGTCGATGGTTGATGGTCGACGGACGGCCGCCCATAACAATTTTGGCCATTAAAAGGTGTTTAGGCCAGAGATCTGAGCCACTGCGTCCGCTATTGTGCAAGTTTCGCTCTTTTTTTATGCTTTTGTGGCCAAAAACACACCGAAATTGTTGCAACGAGTGCGTTGAGATGTAAACTAATGATAGGCCGAATACACATGTTGTGGGCTAATTGGCGTTTGGGAAAATATTTTTTTACCATTTGTTAGTTTTTCAAAGAGGGTGTGAGAATTTACCTTTCGTTAAGGCAAAGTAAACTAGAGATATGATAAATGAATAATAAATCAATAATAAACTGACCATTTGTAAGATAACAAATATGCTTAGTAATTATGCAGAATATATAGTGTTATTAAAGCACTTATTATATTTGCTTATCTCTCTCTCTTTTATCAACCCAATTTCCCCCTTATTTACAGAACAAATTATAACATTTAATATATGAATTACTGGCATTAATTAAACACATGATTTAAATGGAGATACATTTAAAATGTTGCAGTGGCACGCATTTCACGCTCATTTTGACAATTTCATGCAGCTGCAACTCTCATTCAATCAGTTAGCCACTCAATCGGTCCGTCAATCAATCTGGCGATGGGTAAACAGTTATTTTTATTTGCAGCAATTTAGTGAAAGGACAATCTTACAGCAGAATTATGCAAATGTTTAAATATGGCCATGATTTACAGCGAGGGAAAATATTATCCTAGAGGAAGGCATAATTTCCCGGGCATATTGATGTGCGCACTTGTTGTCGTTATTTGCACATCTCTTTTGTGCATTCGCGAATTGATATTAATTAATTAAATTAATTGGTTTTGCTTAAATAACTCTCGGACAGATGTTTGGCAGCTTCATTAAGCAGGCACGCGATGCAAAATGCATATGGAGAAAATGAGTTCAATGCCCTCGCAGTCGGTGGAAATCCGTCAAAAGCGATTTATAAATTCAAAAGCAGTTGGCCGTAGAACCAAAGGCAAGGTTATGCAATCTGGCTCACTTTCGCATGAATTAGCATTAATTACGTTTCCCAATTTGTTTTCCGATTGGATTAGGGCTTACCTAACCCTAGATTTACTTTTATTTTCACTGCAAGCCGAAGCGTGACAGAAATTATTTAGAACGTCCCAGAAGCGGGTCAATACAGAGAGCAAAAGAGAGAAAGAGAGAGCTGGCTTTAAGCCGGGCTTAAACGAAGAGCGTACTGCCAACTCTTCGGTTTCCCTGGCTTTCTTCTCCCAGTGTCTGTGTTTCTTACCAATTTCCATCCATCTTTATGGCCCCGGGCGACGAGACATGCAGTTACTCACATTCGTGTAATTACCCCCAGTGATGTGATTTGTTTTTCTTTTCGTTTGTTTTGAGTTTTGTCTTGCGTTTTGTTTTACTTTGCTTGACGCATTGCAATGGAAATTACACATATTGGGAATTTTACACGCTGCTGGTGGGCCATGGGAAAGCTAATTACTGCTGTCTGCCTGCGGCGGGTGGTACATTAAAAATGTATTAATAATAAATTTAAAAAGTTAATTTTAATAAAATCCACATGCAATTCGGTATATATTTTCACTTATTCTGCTAAAAACATAATTATATGTCCCTTTATTATGCCCAAATGAAGGTTTAAAAATTGATTTATAATGAATGTGCATTGTTTGATAACTCAAAAAATGTATAAATAACAAATTGTTAAAAAAAATAAGAAGGAAATAAAATTATTTAATAATAACATATTTTTTATGTGTATTTAATTTAAGAAGTGCAATTAAATAATTAAAAATAAAAATTATAAGTGAGAAATTGTTCAAAAGGCAACATCATTTTGTTATATTATTTATTTCTTATGGGTATATTATTATAGGGAACCAATTAAAATTATTACACTTAGTTTATTAAAATCAATTATATAACATTTGAAAAATATAAAAAATTATGGTATAAACACCGATCACGACTATACAAGTTAACATAATCTAACCCGATCTTTTCCGGATCATTGGTCTTTTGAAACGGATCATTTTCCAACTTTCATATTACTCCTCCCAGTTATGAAGTTATTCATTCGCTCCACTTATTCCAAAAATATTTAAAATAACAAGAGCAAACATTAGCAATAGTTTTATTGCAATTTACAAATACTTTTCACCCCTTTTCAGAGCCCGCATTTTACACAGTTTTTCCTTCACACTTCACACCTGGCCCGCATGATCAGGTGAAACTCTGCGCCCTCTAGGCCAACATCCCACCCTTTTTCGATGATAATTCGCACGCAACTTTTGGCCAGTGAAAGCCCACAAAACACTCACATGTTTGTATACATTATAGCAATTTATGACCGCAGCCGTTTAGCACATTTCAGAAGGCGAGGTGACTAACAGTTTTACTGGGCCAAATCCGGACCGTCCGCCCACTATGTACCCGGAGCCAGAGAGATAGTCTATAACTATCTGCTTGTTATTATTAGTTGGTCACAAAAACATAAACTTTTGGTTATGCCTGTGTGGATACCAAAAACAACCGCCCTCTCCCACGGGCACGGCGATGAAAGAGCATTTCTACATTATGTAAAAACGGTCAAATGTCGAGCCGGGATGCGAATGAAAAATAACAAAATTCGCATTATTTTTGGTACAAGAAAGGCGAACGCTGATTAACACAATCATGTGAAAAATGTGCTGCAAGGCTTTGCGACTAAAAATAAAACAAGTGCAAAAAAATATACATAGCCCGAGAGAGAGATACTGAAAAGTGGAAATTATGTGTATAGCTTTCACTTGATATACAAATATGGGCTCTGGGGGCAAAGGGGGCGTGGCCAGCAATGCGTAACAGCCAAGTGATGATGACAATGATGAATTTTTCGTCTTCCGACGGGTTTTCTGAAGTCTGAAGTTGGCCGAGCAAAAAGTGTAAATTGCTCGGCAAAAGGTGACGCTGAGCGGAAGGTGGAATTAGTGGAAAGGTGGATATAGTTCAAAGTCACTGAACTATAAATTAAATGGAATAATCGTGGCTGAAATCAAGGCGGGGGTTAAGGATAATTATTTAATATAAAGAAAGTTGAAGGGTGCTAGTAATGGTTAAGATTATTGTTTTTTTTAGCAATTAAAGCTTCTGAAAATGCAATTACTTTACTTGAAATATTTGTATGTTTGCTTAACATTAATTAGACATTTTCGAGAGAGCTCGCTTGGCTCATTAAGATTAAATTTTCATCGACTAATTTCCCTTTCACTGCCCTGTTAATAATAATGAACACAACTCGTTAATACCACTTCAACAACACAGTTCCTCAGATTTGCTTTGAGCACTTCCCAGACTTTCAAATGATGATAATGATATTTATGCAACGCACAAAAACGTTGCAAAAAAATTAAGACAAAAAAAAACACTCAAAACCTTTCAATTTTCATTTTTCCCAAAAGAGCAAGATTTTTGTCAGCCATGTTCCTCATACTTTGGCTACAATTTTATTGTTTTTGATCAAATATGCATGCAAAATGCTATAAATAAAAAACAGAAAAAGTTTGCAAACATTTTTTTTTGTTGTTGTTGTCTTTATGTTTGCTAAATGCAGACGAGGCAAATTTCAATTTAATTTCTTCCCTGCCTCTGTACTCTCACACAGCGAAAGTGAGTTAACGCTCAGCTTCAGATCCAAAGTCGAGGCTTCCTCCAGTATGTAAATCACCTTTTTTTAAACAGCCAACAAACTGCCGGAGATTTATGGGCGCCAGCTACTTAGGCGGGCAGAATATTTTACGGCGGGACATGTCTGGGATCCGAAAAGCTGGATTCCCAGGTGGGTGGGCGCCACCAAACATTTGGAGTACGGAGTTCCATTATCAAGTGAAAGCATTGAACTGCAATTAGTAGAGAGTATGTTGAGTATTTGTGGGTATTTTCACTTTTTTGGCAGTCAATCGAAGAACTTTTAGGTGATAATTTCCGAT